GATCCCAGTCAGTCCTACTTTTTTCTTAGATTTTTTGGTATTTCAATGCTACTGAATTTTTCGTAGGTACTTCTTCAGTCTCAGTTCTATTTCTGTCAGTCCATTATACAACTATTATACCTATGTTCGAATATAACATGAACTTATTCACAATAGACACCCGTGAAAATATTTTAAGATCGACGAAGATTATTTAATTTTGTATGTGTCATGTGTTAAGCAAGTACCTACCAAATCCCGCAGTAACTACAGTACGAATCCCATCACCCACCTTGAACTCAAAAGTGTCAAAACTTCATACGTATCAACGGTCAAACATTGTCTACGCGAGGTAGATAATTTTGGGACACTTAAATAGAAGAAAAATATAAGTTTGCGAGATCCCATACTCGTATTTTTAACAATAGCCGGAAAAAGGTTTAAGAGAACCTTTATTGTAGAAAATTTTAAATCAAAAGACAAAAAGTCACCTTTGAATATTCTTTGAAATTCATGAATGCATATCACATACGTGCCCTTGTTTTATTGCACATTAATTAGGTTCTTAATTGTTAAGCACCGTCTGGAATAATAATCGTAAATATACATGCTTTAACAAAACCCAACTTCAAATAGAAAAAAAAAGATATTCCAAAAAAAAAATACACTAAAAACCAATAATCATCGAAATCGGTTAACGTGATATTGAGTTATTCATCTACCACCATAATCAGAACTGGACTAAATTGGAATGGGACCACACGGGAAGCGTCAGCTTTCTAATAAAAAAAGATTCAAAAGAAAAAAGAATCAAAATCGATTCATCCAGTCAGAGGTTATGAGGTAATTAACAAAAAAAACATACAGTCGCATTGAGAACCTCCTCCTTTTTTGAAGTCGGTTAAAAATATATCATTTTACTATACGCGATAAAAATAAAAAGCTACCAGAAAAATTTAGATATAGTAGGCATATCATATTATACAACATGTAACATATTTAACGCACACCCTCAAACACCCCAATTAGACTTTAATAGTATAAACGCTATGCATACACCAAATATTATTTATATGTGCGTTAACATTGATTATTTGTGAAATTAGTTATTCCCATTTCGTGGAAATAAAATGGTCACCGATTCACACTCCGCTGCGCACGCACACACAGACACCTACTCGCCGCGCCCCTTGTTCAATGCACTTTAATGACCGTTTTCGTATTTGTTGTTTTATTTTAGATAATACTGCAATGTCACTTTTCACTTTATCAAAGGCGGTTATTATCTTATTCTTTAGTTCTTCGGCACTTATTGTCTGTGTGTTATAAACTAGCGATTTAATTCGCCCCCACAAAAAAAAGTCGAGAGGCGTCAAATCAGCTGATCTAGGAGGTCACTGACCGAAAAGACATAGCGAAATACGGGAGATATTTTATTTGCACTATCACTTGACCTCTTATCGATAAGGTGGACGCGGCGTGACTGACGTGTCAAAAATATTTTGTTGACTTCGTTGTTTAGATTTTTCTTTGATCACCGCCGACGCAACCGCGTCGCCGCGAACATCGGGATTAGCCTGCCGTTTATTGTAAGAATATTAAGCCGACAAAAGAAAGGGATAGTAATTATTTTTGTATTACATGGTTTTCTTTTATGTATTGTAGTGTTGCTGTGTGCCGGCGGTCGCTGTTGGTATTGTGTGCGTAGGTATTTTATTTTGTAATAGACTATTACCCTTGAAATAAGTATCAGATTTATTTAATTAAATAATATTTTTTTACTAATTAGATATTTCATTTTAAAAAGTCTTAATACCCTGACTTACATTCCATTTTCGTTTCTATGAACTGTTTAGCTAGCTGTGTAGGGTGACTATAATTTACTTAATTTTAACTAAATTTTAGAAAAAAAAATTGGTACATAAAAAACAATCAAAATCGATCCAGATTCCGATTCTGAACAAATTACTTTCAGGGTGTGCGTTAATTATGTTACATGTTGTATATAGTTAAATAAATAATTTTTAATTAAAAGCTTTTAATTTGCCATAATTAACCCTTTAGTAAATGCTTGAATTTTCCTATCAAATTGTCACTTCCACGATTCCGAATTCAAACGAATTTCAATTAAAATATAGTCAAGTAACGCAGTTGTACGACATCTTCAATTAACGTGCGAATAATTAGTAGTTCATTCGGTATTCGTGGCCACAAAACCGGAATGGCAATAATAAGGTTTCGTTAACATTCAATATTTGTTTTTTATTTAAACACGCTAGCTTATATATACCGGATACAACCAGAGACCCGGAGCGGGACCAGTTTGCCGTGAAGGACTAAATCCCTTCGAAATACTGATGTGGAAGGACGTGGGAACCCACCACAATTACATCCCAAGAGAGACAGGGACAGAGAAACATTTAAACTGTTTCAAGGCCATTACCACGACCCTCAGTAATGAGGAAACCGACGCAAGGAGGAGGAGCTTATATCAATACGTAAACACATAGTTATAATTTAATTCTCAGAGCGTTTTTTTTTTTTTGGTTAGTTAGGAAATCTTTAGGCTTCTGACTAGACGATAGGTTGGCAGTCTCGGAGTTGAACCAACTAAAAGCCCCTGTCGCTCAACGAGCCTTGTCCAAACCTCGACTGAGACAGAACTCAATCGAAACAGACGAGGGAAAAGGTTTCGCGCATTTTTCCTCTCTCTCTAACTTTGGTATAATCTCAACAAACAAACAAAAATCGTAGTCACCCAGGATGCCGTGATCTGAAGTTTAAATGATTTTTTGTAAACCATCAACTTCTTCTTCTTCTTTTTCTCCACCTTATCCCACTAGGTGGGGTGGGGTCGGCACATCGAATTTTTCTATTCCATTCTCTTCTATCAGCAGTCATCTCGACACTCACTCCTCTCTGTCTCTCATATCGTCATTCACACACTCCATCCATGTCTTCTTCGGTCGACCTCTTCCCCCTCTACCTTACACTGCTATTCCCATACATCTCCTAGTCACATGCATCATCTCTCTACTAGCTTCTATTCTTCTATCTTTGTAAACAATCAACGGCCTCCGGATATCGTCCTCTCCTGTATTATACATGTAAAAAAAAGTGCAAAAAATGCCTAATAAATTGTACAAAGATAGATTCCGATCGGGAATCAAACCTGAATTCTGTAGTACAGTCGCCAGAGTCACTAACCACTAAGCCTACCGGGCCATCAAATTTCATCAAGCATGTCGACGAGGATATTGTAATCGTCGACGTACTATTTACACTTTCATGTAATATTTAATATCACGTGAAAAATACGTATTTAATACTATCCTATATAATATCATTATTACATATATATATATATATATAGACAAAGACCTGGAAAGGAGACTGCAAATACATAAGCTTTCAAACAAACAAAGCATTTAAATATTTGAGTAATATATCGTATTAGTTACGTTTCGATTGAACCCAACAATCCGAAACTGATTGAACGCGTATAAGGCAATCGTCATAAAACATTTTAATAAAGATTTACGGACGCCAAAGGTCTCGGCGTGGCAATAAAACTGAGCCGCTTTACAAGGATCTGAGGACTACAGTCAGCAAATCGATCGAGTTATCATATTCCATGGATGACGTCGACAAAACTTTACAAAGAGAACTGATATGTTATTTATGTCTACGTATTATTAAATAAAATCATAAAGAGAATTTTTATTTTTAGTCTATGCACCTTTTTATTGGACAACTTAGTCGTTTTCCCAATGAGTGAAGGAATCAGCATTAGATAATTTTGATAAGCATCTACTATCTTTGAAGTGTTTTGTTACGATCAGTTGGCAAATAAAAAGAATAAACTTTTAAAGAGCACATTAAGTCGCGGCTATGTGCCAGCAAAAATCAATTACTTTTAAATTCATTACACGTTTTTTGTCGTCACTCCCCGCTTTCTTCCTTAACATTAGTGATAACAGTACTTATATGTATAGAAAAGTACAATAGATTAAAATTGGCACTCAATTTTCACGAACATTCCGTTCCTAAGCCCTTTTTTTAGAAAAATGGGATAATAATTCTAAATCAGTCGAACATTTATCAATACAAAATTCTATTTTTGAAGGAATGTTTAAGTATTTTTGCCCGAAAACGGAATACCGTGGGCTTAAATAAAATTAAAAAAATTCGCAATTGTGACTCAAGAGTCAAAATATTAAATTCAGTCCGATCATTTCACTCTCAATACATTTTTCCATCTATCAATGGAAGCGAATCATTCCCGAAATCAATTTCGTCTCCCGATTTTCGCTCATGATTTGCATAGCACCTTTGTTGCAGCTTCGAGGGTGGTTACATTTTACACCGCGTATAACTTACCAAACATTTTTATCAAAATCTGCTCGAATATTTATCATTAAAAGATCTAAAAGTTATTAAATTTTACCCTTTAATCCAAAACGTGTTTTACGGTAGAGATAGGCCAACAGATTGTCGATTTTTTTTCACATTTCTAAGCGGGCTTTATGCAAGGGCTAGTCTCAATTTATAAGTATTTACATACATATATCATACATATACATACATATATTTAAAAAATAAACGTTTACGCAAATTTTCATAATCGTCTTTGCTTTCGACAATGACATGTTATCGATCTACTTGTTACTGCCGCAAACCGAATTAGCCTTGGGAAAAGTCCACTATTCGATTGTTTGATACTGTTAAGTAACGAACTAACGTGTTTATCAACATCAAATTATTGTATGTAGGTCATAAACGGAATGTTTTATTTTATTTTTATTGCTCAAATGGTTGGACGAGCTCACAGCACACCTTGTGTTAAGTGGTTACTGGATCCCATAGACATCTACAACGTAAATGCGCCACCCACCTTGAGATATAAGTTCTAAGGTCTCAGTATAGTTACGGCTGCCCCACCCTTCAAACCGAAACTGATTACCGCTTCACGGCAGAAATAGGCAGGGTGGTGGTACCTACCCGTGCGGACTCACAAGAGGTCCTATCACCAGTAAAATGTTAAATGATAATAAGTAGACCGGGAACCCCAAACTTCGTTATTTTCAACTTTATAGTTGAAAACCTTTCACTTTAACTATACTTGTAAATAGGGTGTATTTAAATAGGGTAGACAATATAAAAAATATTCTTCATATCTACATATCAGACTACTCGATAAATACTATTGAACCAAAAAAAATCACAAAGATTTTTGACACTTTCAGTTTGATTGCCAACATAAGAAAAGAGAAGGCTTGAAGGTCAGAGTCAACATAAGTCATGTAAATTTTTTTAAAGTGGAAACTCATCTATCACATTCATTTTTTCACACAACATCAACTACAAATGTATAAATTGAAATACATAAAGATTCATCTGCTTAAACACAACGACGTAGGTTTTTATTTAATTCTATAACATCCCCAGTCCACCAGAACGTCAAACAATTTTCACTGTGACTAGAGTATCGTATATCATACTGGTTAATAGAATCATCAGAACTAGAATCTACGGCTTCATTATTCGTTTTCTCACTCAAAGATTTTATCGGGTCTGTGAAATGATATTGACCAGATCCGGTAGCCAATATGGGTCTATATGGATGAATTGATATGCTATTGCAGCAATCTTTGTATAAAGGAAACTGAAAATGAAAAAGTCAAGTCAAAAATAGAGTTTAAGCCGTCAAATTAATTACCATGTAAGCAATATATTCATTAAATAGTAAAATAGAATCTCATCCAGTAGCTGTACAATTGTGATGTCATGCAGGCTTCAAAATTAAACTATTTATTCAATTACTCTTTTTCAATAAAAGCTTTTAAAATAAAGCACACAAGCTATTAATATAATTAAAAATAATACCTTATAAGTAACATCATCAGTTGTATTATTAACTGGATCTAAACTAGAATGCCAATCTATATGATCAAGTGACCAAACTTTGACCACTCCATCTGTACCACCCGATACCAAATATTTTCCACAAGGTGATATATCAAAATAAATTCGTTGGTTCGTATTTACAACTCTACTCAGAATGTTTAGTGGTTTCCTATAATACCGTATGTCCCAAACAAACAGTCTGTGATCTTTTCTTGCACCAGAAACAAGCTTCAAAGTACCAGGAATGAATTTCATGTGCGTTACTCCACCTGGAGCAATAGAAAAAATCAAAACATTTTGCAAAGCCAAATGAATATTCATGAATATGCTAAATGATTATGAATGCACTTAAAGGATTTAAGGTTTCTGATAAAAATATATACTTGTTGTGCTATATATTATTATATAACTTAGTCTGGCCATAAATACTGTTACATAAAAACTTTCCTTTTTTTTCAACTTTTTAATTATTTTGTATTTGGAACATGTATATTATTTTAAAAACTTCTTTCGATTTTGCGCCATTTCAGATATTTTTTCGTGTTCATTATCAAATGACAAAGGAATGTGGTGTTAAGGAAAATAGGATTGCAGTGATCGCCTTGCGCAAAGTGGGTATTGAGCCGTCGGTCATATTCCAGACACTTCAAATGCTAGGTATCAGCCATTATGTTGGTACATCGAACTATCAACAGATAAAACAACACTTCGTCTGTCGAAGACCAGAAAAGATCGGTGCAGCCGCGTCCTGTTACAACTACAAAGGCTTAATGCTGTTAAAGCCAGAATCCGTCGAATTAGGCAGCAAAATATCTTATCGCGAGAAATGAAGATTCCCGATAGGACTCTGTCGCGTATTATAAAACAAGACCTGAAGCTCGCAGGATATGCCCTAAATCAATCTTTACAATTAAAGTGATTGGATAAATGAAAACGCCTTTTGACGCGATATGCAGGTGAAAGGCACAGAAATATGGTAGGAAAGGTACAAAGTGGTCATCATCCTGCATCGGTGATGGTTTGGTGGGGCGTGTCTTATCAAGGAATCACAAACTATATTTTTGTGAAAAAGGAAGTGAAAACTTCAGTCAATGTGTATCATTGTCCATGTATCCATGTCTTGGATTATGCTGTAAAACCTCTCAGAATACACTTTTTAAAAATATACTGTGGACTGGCCCGCATGTCTCTGCACCTGGGCACAAGGCAGGAACTACCCAAGCCTGGCTTGAAACCAATGTTCCAGACTTTGTAAGAGCTGAAGTCCAGCCTCACCGAGCCCAGATCTCAACCATTAGACTTGAAATTATGGTCAGTTTTAGAGAACATGGCCTGCTCTAAGCGATACAGTGACATTGAGTCTCAAAAAATCTTCGGAGCAAGCAGTGAAATTTCCCTTGGAAACAGTGCGCAAATCCATAGTTTCATGGCCAAACAGATTAAAGGCCTGTATAAAAGCCAAAGGTGGCCATTTCAAGTAGAATATTTTTCTTTATTTTTTGCTGACTTCATTTCTTTTTACTTCATTAAAAAAAAAAAACATTTTCATTTGTAACAGAACTTATGGCTGGATTAGGTATATATACAGTCAAAATCTGTTATAACGACATCGAAGGGACTGCTCATATTCAGTCGTAAAAACCGATAGTCGTAACAACCAGTGATTCTTAATGTGTATCGTGCAAGTACAAACAAATCAATGGGGAATTATTGGAAAAATATATTTATTCAACTATGTACATTTTGTTTATTACACATAAGTACAATGCATATTATTTTTCTGTGAGCATAAAATCTGTAATTTTGGTCTGTTTGGAACACTTCTTTTGCTCATAGATATTTTGTAATTCACGTTGGATTTTAATCAACGTATCGTCATCGCTCTTTCCAAATGGTCGAAATTGTCGAGTGTCATACACCATATTCCTTTGCTGTCTTTGTTTGAAATTCCGCTCTCTGGCTTGGATATAATACGCGATTATTCTTCAATATTAATTTGTTTTCTTTTGTTTTGCGACATTTTGAAAGTTTCACGAATAACTCCACAAAGTTTGGGTGCATCTTGTGTATAGATAAGTAACAAACTAACTGAAGAGATATGAAGAAGCGAGCTTTGACTCTACCGCATGCATGTGTTTTGTTTCTAAGAATTAGAAAAGACCCTACACTAAACGAAATCCTATTGTTTTCTTTCCTGATTTTAATAGCCATTGAAGACAAATGTGGATACCTATTCAAATTGTTTACAATACAGCTGAGCCGGTCGTTCTAACAGATCTAATTCTCCGAAATATTAGTTAAATGTGGTCGTTTTATGAGGTATGTCGTTATTAGCAATGTCGTATAAAGCAGTGTTTTTAATAAGGCGGTCATATAGCATTCAGCCGGGACCTTTGTTCTAGGTTATTATAACCGGTATGTTGTTCTAAACGATGTCGCAGTAAACGGTTTTGACTGTATAACAATATGTAACAAACGTTACACCAATTATTCAGTGCTATTTACCTCCATGTCCATACATGTCCCCAATTTTCTTAGTACCAATTTCGGATTCATTATACAAAGTTATTGTTGTATTCCAAGAACCAACAGCAACTAAGTTATTTTGTGTTGAAATGCTAGATGCTGAACTAGAAATCTTTTGCTCAGTAAATTCTCTGCCAGGCCTAAAAAATTTACTGATTAATATACAAGCATATAAAATAGACCTAGAACTCAGGCAGGATTGCAACAATTATGTTGTTGAAGTCTATGAGCTCTAGTAATCACTTAAAACCTAGTTGTATGCCAATCAAAGAAATAAAAAAATTGTCTATCTTGAGCACATTTAACTTAATGAGTATATTAAAAGATTTTACTTCAATACAACAAATTTTCAAATTCTTTATATTAGTATAGATACGATAAAAGCTTCCTGCCTTGATATAAAGTCGTTATTAGCAAGTCTAAGCTTTGCTTAAATACCCACCCTGAGCATGAAATTAAAGTTTTAAGAAAAATTGGATAATGAAGAATTACCGCTCAACATCAAAAATTCTTAAATGCTTCTTATAGCCAGCAATGATTTTTCTACCATCTGAGGTAAAGCTAACTGATAAAGCTGGTTCCATTTCATCTACTGCATTGAATCCTCTGTATGAACATCTGAGTGATCCATCAAATGCATCCCACATTTGTATTGGAGAATTTTGTTTTGTTGTCAACCAGCTGTCAATAAAATTATTGAGTTACATGAAAGTTAGGCATTTCTTAAGAAATCTATTTTAACTCCTTATTTTAATGAAAGAGAAATTATGTTTACTGACAAACTAAAATTGATATTTTATCATAATCTCAGCTTGTCCACTGCTGAACATAGGCCTCTCCAACTGATGTCCACTAGGTCATCAGCCCATCTGGTACACGGCACACTGCACTTGATAGTACGTGGTCTCCACTTAAGGATTTTTCTGCCCCATCAGCTGTCAATCTTCGTACTATATGGCATTCCCACTGCCGCTTCAGCTTGCTAATCCTAATGGCTATGTCAACAAGTTTGGCTCTTCTATGGATCTCCTCATTTCTGATTCGATCTCATAAAGAAATACCAAACATAGCCCTCTCTATAGGTCGCTGTGTGACACTAAGCTTCTTAAAAAGTTCCCTTGTGAAACACCATATCTCAGAACCGTATGTCATCACTGGTAAAACACATTGGTTGTACACCTTTGTCGTAAGGCACTGAGCAATTTTTTTATTTTTAGATTGGTTGATATTTAAGTAACGATATTTTATATTTACATCAATTCCATTGTAGACCAAATATTGAGTTTTAAATCTCACTCACCAACAGGAAGGGGGATTTGTGCTGTTCATGAATGGGTACCAACAGAAGTCGTAAACTGAACCTGTTTCTTTTAAATGTATCACTGANACCTTTGTCATAAGGCACTGAGCAATTTTTTTATTTTTAGATTGGTTGATATTTAAGTAACGATATTTTATATTTACATCAATTCCATTGTAGACCAAATATTGAGTTTTAAATCTCACTCACCAACAGGAAGGGGGATTTGTGCTGTTCATGAATGGGTACCAACAGAAGTCGTAAACTGAACCTGTTTCTTTTAAATGTATCACTGATTCTAAGACATCGATTATACGATCGCCACAAACAACGCCCTGGTACAATTCACTGGGAAGCTCGGTAACATGAACACCATCGTTATTGACAACACTTAAGCAACAGGTTCCATCTGGGGACCACTTACATCCACGTAAATAAGGCTGTATATTCTCATTAGCATTACGACCCCTTGACCACGAGCAAGTGGACAATTCAAGAAAGCTTTTGCTTGTAAATAATGCTGGATATTGAAAAGCGTTTTCTGTACACGCCGAACCCAATGTAAGTTCACTCGGATTTTGAGTTATGGTTTGAGGTATATTTTCAGCGTTTATTCTTGATGGTGTCTCCATTGACCAATTTTCCATAATAAAGGTAGATCACAACACAATTTGTGATTGTGTATAACAAATTGACAATTATTCCGCTCACGGTTTCAAAATAAAAACAGAATCGTCGTTCGTCAATCGACCTTACCGCTTTACTTTTTTTAAGAGATTTTATGACCTGGTAACTAAGATCTTTAGGTAATGTCTTTTATTAATTTATAATATTCTTATTTTTATGAAAAATGAGAATTATATGGAGTAAAATGAAATGAAATGAGATGTTGTGGGATGAAATATAATCTCGGGATCGGGAATGATTAATCACAAGAACGGTCGTGCATACACAACAACAGAATTTTTTTTGGGGCCGGGGGCTGTACCTCCTATGTGGTTCCCCCGCCTAGGGGGCACGCAGGGTATGTGGGACTTGACGATCTGCAAATGTTGGGAGCAGACCGTAGGTCCAAAATTATTTAAGGACTCTACCGCACTAAACGACTCCCCTGCCCCTTATACGGTTGCTCTTCCACAGTATGTTCGACGACGACAGCGACGACGGCAATGCGGACCGCTTCTGAAGATGCGTCGTCACATGCCAGCACGCTACAGTGACAATAGCGTGTGGCGCAGCCTCGACTACCTCAGGTCGCCCCGTGAACATCACCGGGAGGAGACTGCCTCCTCACAGGGGTTGGAGCTGGACGAACGCCCTCCTCCGATCCCCGACTCGGTGGCGGTGGCACGGTGCCGAGAGGAAAGAAGAGCTCTCTCTCTCCCCGTTCCGCCGCCTCCTTCTGCATGATGATGGACTCACAGAAGTCGAGCATCGCCTGCCAGGACTCGTCGCTGCCGCGCATAGTCCGGTCCTGTTTTTGCATCGAGGATGCGGCGCTGCTTCGCGAAAGTGGGGCAGTACGCGAACGTGTGCTCCGCCGTGACACCACAACTATACATTAACCCACAGACACAACCCTTGAGTTTCTCGCCGGATCTTCCCAGTAGGTCGCGATTCTGATCCGGTAATAAATTCAATAAAGCATTACTCTTGCTACAGTAGATGTTAGCAAAGTCTCTCAGGCAGGTTGAGCCTTGTGAGCTCACCTACCAGTTAGGATCAAGCTCCTGGAGGCTACGGTTAATCAGGTAGACAGTAAAAACTACAATATAAAATGTTCAATTTCTCTTACACTAAATTCATGATATTTCTGATATGGTTGTATTGCGGTTAGCATGGAGATTTTATTATATGTTTTATGTATTTAAATTCAGAGCTCATACAACAAAAGGCGCTGTGGCGTGGCTTGTTTTATTTTAAAATATCATCAAAATTCACTCAATGGTTTTACATGACGCTTCAATTAATTCAAAATAAATTAACTGAAATGCAGTCAAAAAAGTTACTTTGGAAAGTATATTTGCTCGCAATTTTTATTTCCTTCGTTCACGGACGGTAGGTATAACTTTTATTCATTATTGATCAAATTAGTAGATTGATGAAAGTGAAATATATTTATAAAAAGTATTTTCAGTGATTACTCGTACAGTAAACATATGGAAAATAGTTCTAATCTTTTGATAATATAAGTTTAAAAACTTTAAGAACATTTTTAAGTAATTAAAACTACTGTTAAGGTTTAATCTCGCGGTTTTTATTGTCATCGTCAAGATCGTAATCAAGAAATCATCATCATTAAAATATCGTCAGTGACCATGAAAACTGTAAAGTATTCAAAAATTAAATGTCGTATATTTAATGTCAGTAAAAAACGTGAGATTATACCGTAAAAGTAAGTTTAATTGTGTCTATAAATCGCGGAAACCAACAAAAATACTTACTTTTATGTGATAAAGTTCGCAATAAAATAAAACCTAAATATCGCAGGGATTCTCTTCTGTTTTAGTATATTTAAACATTTGTGAAAACCGGTTGTGTATTTTGCTATAAGTTGGTCGTAAGACGTTATTACAAATTGTAATTTATTATAAACGACATAACTAATTAACAGTTGCCACTGCCTGCTAGATCATTGATCAAACATAATAAAAAAGAAATCAATGCATTCATTGCGTTAAGAGATATTTATTGAAAATGGAAAATATTTTCAAGGTTTGTATCTTGCAAGAAGAATGTTCAGCAATTTTATTTTATTTTAGTACATAGATAAGAAGACTTTTTGCTGTCAATTCTCAAAACTCAAAACAGCTGTCGCTGTCAGATGTCTAACCTTTCGTCCATCAAAGATGACAAAAAATCAGGGCTATTACATACGGTATAAACTTATAAAGAATACGATTATTGTTGTCATATATTCGTGCATTAAAGTCCCGAAAAAATAAAGCTGAAATATTAATATAATTAAAATGTTGAAATTTTACTATATTACCATTAAATTAAAAATATAAAGATCACCTTGTAAATACAATGCTAACAAATTCAGCTCACGAAAGATTTTGTAACTATGTTTTCATTTATTATTAATAAATTTATTTTATGCCTTTATATTAAACTCTTTGCAGATGAGACTTAAATTCATTACTCGCGGAGTCCGGTTTGCTTCCAGTACGCTTAAAATAATGGAATTTTCCGATCCGCCTGCAAGTGCTTCATACTGCTGTGCAGAAAGCAACGATGGTATTCCACCAACTTTCGCTATGTATGAAGCGCTAAAAGACTCTTGTCAGAACAACGCGACATTCTTCAAACCGGACGATACAGAAAACGGACAACGTTTATATCAAGGATTCATGACATTAAGTGACCATATAGAAACGGTGTGGCCCCTAGTGGACCATGTACGAAAAGTAAGTACATTCCACTGAAACTTACCAACCTTGAACCAGTGTAAGGGACTATATTCAATTACTACCAAAACTATGCAATAGGAGCAAAATCAAATGGTTTCTAATCAGCCTAATAAAACATTTCATTTGTGTCATGACCTTGACAGAGCAAGAAACTGAATGCACATGCAAATAGAATTTACAAAAATTCAATAGAATTATTTAAAAATCACATTGTCATCATAAATTTTATTCAACATGTTTTCTCAAGCTCATTTAAATTACAATTCAATTGAATATGTGCTTTTTTATATGTGAATTTCAATTAAATAGCTTTACAAATAAACTACTCAGTAATTCTATAATATTATTCTAAGACTTCCTAATTATTTATATTGTAGTGATTTTTCATGAGAACTTTGAAACAGAGTTGTTGTATAAAACTATTGTATGAAATTAGCATGCAGCTATTACATACAAAGTCTGACACAATTTATCATCTTGTCACGACAAAAATGAATGTTAGTTAATGTCCATAGTCATATATTCTTCAAGGGAACAGTAAACTGTTTGAATTTTAAAATAATGTGGTAGATTACAATAAATAAAATTGTTACTATTTATATACCTACTGCAAAGATTTTTCTCTATGATGGATAATTTATCAATGTGATTCACTGGTGGTAGGACCTCTTGTGTGTCCTGTGATATGATTTACTGTTGACTCTGAGGAATCATAGACATAATGAAAACTGCTTTAATAGTTTAATCTCACCTTAATTATTTCTGATGTTTCAAATATAATTTGGTTTCGTGGTTGGTAGGTTATTTGTTGACAGAATAAAAATCAATATGCAAGGGATAAAATAATACTTCTAATTTATTATGCGACTACGCTTAAAAATATCATTATGAGTTTAAAATATTTCATGTTGTAATAAAAGTTAACATTATTACCATTAAATTAACATTAATAACAAATAACTATTTATGTTTTCCATTTTTTTTTAGGTAGCACCACAATATGATTTTGATACAAAATCTCCCGGAAACGGATACCGAAGTTTTGTTTCAGTTGTAGACTCGTGTGTGTTATACAGTCTCAAACTAAGTCGGCAAGTCAGTACAGGACGTGAAGCACTTCTATTCCGAAAAAGCCACTTTGTGAAGTAAGTTCAAAATCATTCTCATAGTGCTTAGAAACTGGGTCGCAAACAGATTATGTAATGGCCTTTTCACACTTAAATCCGGAATGCAACATTGCTTTACAGGAGTACGGAGAGTGGCAGTTTCAACCTATGCGAAGACGCAACTCGCCCTGCTAGTAGTTAATGCTGGTTCACAATCTCAGTGTATTGATAGATATATATATATCTCATTGCCCTTGTAGGCAGATAAGCCAATCTGATGTTGAACAGTTACCGTCATGGATGTCAACAATGGTGGGGTCAAAGCCAGGCCCCTTCCGTTTTTTCTTTTTTTTATTGCCCTTGTAGGCAGACGAGCATATGGCCCACCTGATGGTGAGAGGTTACCGTCGCCCATGGACTTCAGCAATGCCAGGGGCAGAGCCAAGCCGCTGCCTACAGCTTAATACTCTCCACAAGCCTCGATTGAAGAAGAACATGTCATAGCGCTCGGGAAACACCTTGGAGGGGAGCTCATTCCATAGCCGTGGCAAAAAAGACCTCTGGAAACGCACTGTGGATGACCGCAGTGGCTCCAGGTAGTATGGATGAACTCTACTCCGGTGGCGGGCGGTGCGATGGTAAGAACGAGATGCCGGTATCATCTCGCGCAATTCCTCAGAGCACTCCCCATGGAACATACGAAACAAAATACAGAGGGAACCGAAGTCCCTCCGCAGACCCAGAGGTTCCAAACGATCCGTGAGAATGGGATTATTGACAATCCGAACGGCCCTCCTCTGTATGGAGTCAAATGGAAGAAGCTGGTGTTTGGGAGCCCCGGCCCAGAGATGGGAGCAGTACTCCACGCGAGGCCGGACTTGTACTTTATAAAGCAAATTCCTTTGTCCAGGCGTGAAGTACCGCTTCACTCTGTTGAGGACTCCCAACATTTTGGACGCCAACTTGGCTTTGCCTTCCAAATAACTCCGAAACTAGACATCGCTCGAAATGTCGACCTCAAGGATCCTGATACTCTCGGAAGGTTGCAGGGATACTTCTTGGAATTGCGGCGCCATGACAAAGGGGTCCTTCTTCGCAGTGAACGCGCAAACTTGTGTCTTTAACGGGTTGAATTGAACCAAGTTCAATTCACCCCATTTGGAGACTCGCCTCAGAGAGTTCTCCACTTCAGACACAAGTTTTGATCGTTTCTCTTGCACCACGCTCCGAGAGAGACTCTGATGGCCGATATATCGCGCATCCCCCGTGCTGTCATCCGTATAGCAATGCATGCCATCAATAGACAGCATATCATTGATATACAGCACGAAAAGCGTGGGGGAGAGCACCGAACCTTGTGGAACGCCAGCGTTAATGGTCATGGTATCAGAACAGTCACCGTCTACAACGACCGTGATGCTCCGCCTATCCAAAAAGCTAGCGATCCACTTGTAGAGACCCTCGGGGATTCCGTAAGATGGTAGCTTCGACAGAAGTGCCCTATGCCAGAACCTGTCGAAGGCCTTCGCGATATCAAGGCTCACAGCAAGAGCCTCGCCCCTGCTCTCCGAGGTTTCAGCCCACCTGTGAGTAAGGTATACAAGAAGATCGCCAGCTGAGCGACCGTGACGGAAACCGTACTGTCGGTCACTGATCAGCTGGCGATCTTCAAGATACTTCAGGAGTTGTATATTTATTATTCGCTCCATCACCTTGGAAAGCAAGGAAGTTATCGCGATAGGCCTATAGCTCGATGGGTCCGACCAGTACCCTTCTTGGGAATAGGGTGGACGTGGGTGGTCTTCCATGAAGACGGAACCCTGTTATCGCAATAAGAGAGACGATACAAACGCGTTAGCGCAGGCATCAACTCAGGGGCGCACGTTTTCAGAGCCACACCAAGGATGCCGTCTGGCCCACTCGACTTATCGACATCCAAGAGTGGGAGTTCCCGCCTGACTGCACACTGTGTAAAGCAGATCTCCGGCAGGGAACAATCACACCGGGGGATGTTCCATGGTGTGGCACCCCCGTCGTCCACAGTCGAGTTCGAGGCGAAGAGTTTGACCAGAAGGTCAGCCTTCTCTTTCGCACTATGGGCCAGACTGTCATCGGACTTGCGTAGTGCTAAGTAGCTATAAAATACCTGTTTACGGCTTGCTGAGCACAGAAACAAAATATTTAAATTACATTATGTTACATTGTGTATGTTTATCATTTATAGAAAACATGAATTGCAATATATTAAAGAATAAAGTTTATGTAAATTTTATATGTATCTTGGCCCTAATTTGCTACGGCAATATGCTAAAGCTATTATCAAATTAATGTCATTCGAATCAAAGCTCAAAATCAATCAAAAAAACGACTCGCTCAATGTCTTGTCCTCCACATGATTTTAGTTGTTACCTGAGCCCATGGACGTCTCAAATAAATGCTGCCTTCAGATTATTTAATCTTTCCTATTCCTTCTGCGAAGCAGTCATGCGTTCTTATTAAAATGCTGCGACAGGCATTTTACAATAAAATTGATACTTCGGCCTCATATCTCATTGACGGCATTAACGTTGTGATTTCTACGAGGAACGATAATTTTACACTAGGTGGGTCGAGAGCTTGTTAACCCATCAGCCCAATAAATAAACAAAAAAACATCAGCTACCCTTGAAATTAGAACACGTGACTGCTTCGGACCCAAAATATGCATCTCTCTCTCTTTCTTTCTCTGGGACCCCACACGTACGCATCACTCAATACGAACACACCAAGCATTTTACGTACCAAGCCAAGATTCGTTCTCAGACTCTATATTTTAAATATTAAATCACATAAAAGCAATTTGCGACTCACGTCTCAATGGAATACTGGCTATATTATTTTGTTTATGTGTTATTAGTTATTACATACCATCATTACAACATGCGTATCAAGGGTCACTATTTTAAAATGAACGTCCTCAAGAGGGCTTCCGCTTGGCAGTCTATCAACAGCAATAATACAATTATTGGCACTATGAATAAAATCTATATTCTCTATCTCTTCTTATAAATAAGTAAAAATAACTGTAAACTGTTTGTTTGGTTTATAACATTCTTTCATTAAGTTTCACCTGTATCTATTTATCTATGTTACTTAATCTTTCAAGGTAATTTTCACCAACTTCAAGAGTTCAGATTTACTTCAAATTTGCAGGACCCATCAATGACCGATAGCAATACAATATTTCCGTTACTTTAGGCCAATTACCCTAACTAGGATATCCACTAAAAAGGCTAATTTCAATTTTGAGTTCGATTTGCTATTACAGTCGCTATAATAATATATTTTAAAAGAAATTGTCAGCGAAATGATTAGTGTAGTTAAAAAAATAAATAGCTTTGCCCGTGAATTTGCTCCCGTAAAAAACAACTTTCCCGAGATGACATCTTATCAAAATCCGTTTAACGGCTTACGCTCAATATCTTAATGAATCAAGCCATTACTTCATTTTGCCGAAAAAAAAGAAGAAATCAACAATTTTTGTTAAATATGAATAATAATGAAATAACGTTTCCTGTTGGAATATGATGGTTTTGCTTGGGATAAAAAGTAGCCTGTATCGCTCTCCTGACCTAATACTATCACTATGAAAAAGGGAATCAATGCAAATCGATATGAAAGTAGAACAAACAGACATTTTCATATTTATATTATTAGTATGGATAATAAGAACAACTTGCGAAACTTCTTCTTTCACTACGGGCCTACGAGCTGGGGGACTTTCTAGTGTTGTATGAGTACCTTAAAACGAAGTCCAATATTGAGAAATGATAATCCCACCGCTTAAACCGAAATGCACGACTGCTTCGCAACAGAAACCGGATTGCAGTACCCAACTTAGGGTTCATAATACGTCTCATCGTATATGAGTCGACTATTATCAAAGCCGGCAATCTGACTTTTGGATAATTATTGGTAAATCAGAAAAACGAATTATTGACTTTGTATTCCATTGGCAGTCACAAAACTCTTCGGAACGACATCTTAGATAAATAACAGGTTAATTATTAACCTTTATTTAATGCAGGTTTTGAACCGTATTCTTTGAAGGAGACGATTATATTCAAATCAATCTGTATTGACATATCAATAACATTTTTTTGTCCAAATGCACAGATTGCCACCTTTGATAATAGACGACTCATATATAAATCTAGGACTTAGCAGAGTTTTATTTTATCATTTCCGTTTTCAGGGAAATAGAGTCGTGCGGTCAACTTTTAGCATCGCTCGGAACCTGTTTACATCACCTTCAGACTTTACTTGGTTGGGCACCCCCGGGGGAACTGTTTCCCACCGAACATCATACACCCGAAGAACTGTTCTCTCAAGCCGACACAATAAATCAGTATTGCTTCTACGGAAGATGTCTTGGGTTTCAAGTAAGGATCTATATGTATATAAAAAAAAAAACTTACATAGTCTTTGGGGTAAACGATAAATGGAAAATCTTCTACACAGCGGGTGAAATGGCTTGGTGTACCAGCACTTCGAAAATATATAAAATTGTGTTGAAAATTTCGTTAGGCGTATTCAGCTTTTTTTCGATATCTTTAATTCTATGACAGCTACAAACGAATGCGGTAATTATGACAAAGAGCAGTCTACAATCTTAAGCTTGGGAAGTATTATTTAACAACCACATCTGGTATTTTTAGTGATGTAAGAATAAACCGAAAAAAAATTTACAATCAATGCTTAAATTATGATATAAGAGATCTGGCCTAGTGCCTCACGGATACTTCTCATGCTAAATGTCAATTCGAGATTTTGGCAATGGGCAATCAGAGCGGAATAGTTCACAGTTAAGGAAGGAAGAAAAAAGCCTGTCTTTTAACGCGGTAAGATCCTAACGAGGTTCCACTTCGCGCTGTACGTAACCTCGATACAAACTAGGTAGCCCCGTGGACGATGACGACGGTATTAAAAACTACCTTCAATATGTGACGGGCAAGATTGTTTTGTTTGCAACTACTGCGACTATCAATCATTGCCACCACCGCGACAGGTTCGGTTAGGTAGTAGCCTGGAGTTTTCGACCAGGGAACTCCACTAGCCATCACGTCCAAACGCTATTATGTAACGTCAGGGTTAACATGTACGCTTTATGACCCAACGGCGGGCCCAGCGTGCTATACCATATACCAAAATCAGGGATTCAGTAATACCAATACCATTTCCATACATCCCCTAGTCACATGGATGCATCTCCTCTCTACGCATCACGTGTCCCTCGCATTAACATTTTCATTCTAAAATTTATAAAATGCGATAATTTGGACGGAAGATAAAATTAGCGACTTTTACCGTCTAGTTTAGATATTTCAAGAGACTCACAGGTGACCATCATAGCAATAGTTCAGTAAAATAAGGCTCACCTGTGAGCACCGCGATCCGAATGACAATACTCGATTTTTCATATGTCGTACAGCGTGCTAACATCCCCAAGAGGGCTTTTACAAATACCCGTCGAATTTCACCCAAACGCTACAAATTTGTTGGTGTATGTTTTAGTCTATCCGAAAATCCAATGGTTATGTTCAAGAAGACGACACTTGATTACGCCTTAATGATTACGTACATTAACAACTACTTTTCGTAAGATAACTAAAGACATTAATGTTTGCTTGCACGTACGATAAAGTAATGTAAGCACATTAAACAAAAGATTAATTCAGAAAATAATAGCATTATAAGATTTGTGTTTTTAGATCGGATATTGTTTTCGTTGAAAAAAAAAACGAACAAACTATTAGTTGCCTTACAGTTTTAGTTATAATTATTAATTGAAATAGAGACAAACTAGTCAGTTAAATTCAAGATGAGAATATCATAAAAATCAATGCGTAAATAATTTAATATTCAAGGTCGAACCAGTTTGCACATATTTAGTTGCTATTGCTTCATTATAAAGTATCTATTTTATAATTATATACATACATATACAAGAATTTATTGTAAAAACAACCTTTGGCCCCAAGCTTCCTCTTCATTAGATATTTAATAAGATAACACATCGTTAAAATTCAAAACATCTATTTTTATTCAATAGCGAAGTAACTTATTTCGTATTCTAAACGATTTGAATAGTTAGTTCCTTAAAAATTAGATACTTATTCTTAATTGTAAGATTTTTGTTCATGTATTCTCTATTACAACAAATTTCACCCTACCTTAATTCAAAAATGCCTTCCCATAATTTCGTCGAATAGGATTTTCAAATGCTCGAATACATTTCTGTCCATATTTTGTAAAAATTCGTGTATTGCAAACGGTTCGTTGCAATGGAAGATTTGTCATTTAAATGAATTCAAACATTGCAGTTCATACCATCGATGCGCGGAATACTAAAAGGCATATCCATATGTATGGCGGGTTTCTCTGAAGCGTACTACTGTCACGGAAACGTGATTAGCTCTGTTTGGACCGGAGGGCAGTACCTGATCAACCCTGAGTTGAGGGCTAGGCGTATAGTGAATATATCGCAGTCGGCGAGTATAGAATTCTGCAAGGCGTTTTGGTTTTTAGCTGAAAGCGGTGAGTTTGTTGTGAGGTGTCTTAATTTATTTATTTAGTCTACTTACAAATTAACAGTATAAACCAAAACATTTGTAAGGTATTAATAATTAGCTTAAGTAATTCCTAACAACAACAATAAATCGCTGCAAACCATCATGGAATATATCCATTTCCGGAGCTTAAGCTAGCAAGCCATTGAGTAGCGAGACAGCACGATACGTCGGGGAGTTAGCGGTGTGCTGCGTACGCGCGTGCGTGGTACTAATGTTTTGTGTTATTTAATTTTTTTATTTAAAAAAGGTTTGTGTGTTTTTGTTTGGGTGTAATTTTTAAAGTAGAAGCTATCGAACAGTACTGGTGGTAGGATCTCTTGTGAGTCCGCACGGGTAGGTACCACCACCCCGCCTATTTCTGCCGTGAAGCAGTAATGCGTTTCGGTTTGAAGGGTAGAACAGCCATTTAACCATACTGAGACCTTAGAAATTATATCTCAAGGTGGGTGGCGCATTTACGTTGTAGATGTCTATGGACTCCAGTAATCACTCAACTAGTACAAATTCTAATCAAAATGGCTTTTGGTTAAGTACTGACAAAGTATATTCCAGAAAAAGAATTGAAGTTATATAAATTTGACCCGCCCTTTCAGCTTACGCATAATATCACTATATCGATTTTTACAATTATAGAGTAGGACACAATTAATACTATATATAGGAAAGATGTCATTGATAGTATAAAGCCTTCAATAATTGGTTCAGAATTAGTACGCAGCGCATTGTCCAATTCTTCGAGTTACATGGCAGCGTCTAGATTAATCATTCATGTCCTAGATTGTCGAAGGCGTACTTACAGGACATAATTATGTTGATTGGTACAAAGTTTTATCGATTAAAGTCTTACGTATATTTCGTAACACCAGGTGGGATGTGAGCTCGTCCATCCACCTAAGCAATAAAAAATAAAAAAACGAATTCGTTTTTACTAATATCACGTTTATTAATAGATCAAATAGATAAATGTCGTCCTAAATCTATACTAATATATAAATCTACAGTGGTTTTTACGGATGTTCCGTTATAACGACTGAACCATGCATCCAATTGACTTGAAATTTGATATCCATGTAGAAAATACATGTACCTAATGGATAGGCTACTATATGAGTGTTGGACTCCATACACCAGTTGCGGGGGCGTTAATGATGAAAATCTTTGTTGGGGGTGAGAAATAATAATGTTAAATTTAAATGCCCAGCGAAGCGGACGGGTGCAGCTAGTTTTCTCATAATTATCTACAACAAATTTAAAAAAATTTATTACAGAACAAGGTCATCGCCTACGAAAGGTCATCCGGCCCCAATTTAAGATTGTGTAGATTAGGATTTGTTATCGGTACCAGAGACTGACAAACACACTTACATACGGTTAAATATATACATATTATATACCTAGATAATAAACACCCAGACAAAAGGCAAACAAACATGTTTATCACATGAATGTTTGCCCGACATGGGAATTGAACCTACGATCCTCGGCGCATTAAAACAAATTACTAGATTAGATGATCAATTTGAAATATTTAACAACCCTCGATATCTAATATTGTAAATACAAGAAGTGGTACTTCAAAGTAACAAGGTCGTAGTCCTAGCACAAAAGTCTCGTGTAAGTTCGCTTTCATTGAATTCTTCACAATGATTGTGGGGCTTTCAATAGCACCACCACATCTCTTCTCATAGGTGTCTTAAAAGGCGTATACGATATTCAAAAGAGAATGGGCAGTAACGTTTTCTGAGTATCCTACGAGTCTATTTCGATCACCAACCAGCATTTACTGGAGTTAGCGTGTATTGTAAATAGGTACGGGTAGGTGCCAATCTTCCTACCTACCTACCATACCTATGGACTCCTCCGCTCGCGTACGCGATAAAAAGAACCCATTAGTAACAAAACAAAACAGATCTCCAGTGACGAGTTTCACAACCATCAGCGTAAATTGTTTTCACTTTCAGAAATAATGAAGCGTGTCCCCAGTTTGATGTCTTCGACGGTGGCCGTTAATAAAATCATAACGATACCACCTGAACCGTTGACGGTGACCACGCTCGAAGATAAGGAGATCACCGTCCTACCACCCACCGTACATATAGGGCTTCAGGGACTGAACATCAGACTTATTAGTGTAAACAAGAGGGTCGGTATGGTAAGTATAAAAAATAACGTACATTTATATAACAATTTAAAATAATTAATTTTAATTTAATTACAACAGTTTTGTTCGTACAGGCCGGCGAGAGTTCCTCATCGCTGCCGCCGTCGGATGGCGTCCTTTTCCACTGCCACGGAGGAGGCTTCGTGGCCCAAAGTTCCAAGTCGCACGAGACTTACCTCCGGGACTGGGCGGCCAAACTGAACGTGCCAATTATGTCGATCGACTACAGTCTTGCACCGCAGGCGCCCTTTCCTAGGGCTTTAGAAGAGGTCTACTACGCTTATTGTTGGCTGTTGAATAATTTTAAAACAGTCGGAACTACGGGTTAGTTTTCNTGCCACGGAGGAGGCTTCGTGGCCCAAAGTTCCAAGTCGCACGAGACTTACCTCCGGGACTGGGCGGCCAAACTGAACGTGCCAATTATGTCGATCGACTACAGTCTTGCACCGCAGGCGCCCTTTCCTAGGGCTTTAGAAGAGGTCTACTACGCTTATTGTTGGCTGTTGAATAATTTTAAAACAGTCGGAACTACGGGTTAGTTTTCCTTTTACTGCTAGCTATCTTTAGGTATCTAAAATTGCTTAAATTGAATTTTTTAAAATTGACGGTAATCAGCATAATATACATGTCCACGCATCGAACGTGTGGACACCAGCGGCGGGAGATGAGGCGCGTTGAGTCGCTATTGTAAACGGTCGCCACTAATGTTAGTAAAACTTCAATAATACAACTCGCTTTACTTTATAAATTTGGAGATTAACATAAATTCTTATTGAGCGGTCGAAACGTCCGTCGTTGATCGAGTCTGTCGGCGAGCCGCGATCAGCTGATGCGTCCCCCCGTCCGCCGCGTCACCCGCCGCTGTTGTCCACGCGTTCGATGCGTGGACATACAAATATCGACGAATAACACTTTGAAAATAATATAATGATAGTAATGTAAGATTAAAGAGTTATAATAGTTTTAATTTTTAATTTAACTGCTACAATTGGGAGTAGGTATTAAAAATAATAAAATTAAATACAATGAAATGCGTTATACAACTTAAGCTCATAAAATTTCACATATATTTAATTAATATTTAAATCAAAATAAAATAATATTTAAATTACAATTTATCAGAATTATTAAAACCTAAAAATGAAATCCAACCAATGAAATTGAATTAAAATTATTAAAATAAAAATCGTCAAATACTAATATAAAATTAAAATTAAATAAAGGAACAAGAGGTCCTACCACTTTACTGGTGGTAGGACCTCTTGTGAGTCCGCACGGGTAGGTACCACCACACCACCTATTTCTGCCGTGAAGCAGCAATGCGTTTCGGTTTGAAGGGTGGCGCATTTACGTTGTAGATGTCTATGGGCTCCAGTAACCACTTAACACCAGGTGGGCTGTGAGCTCATCTACCCATCTAAGCAATAAAAAAAAATAAAAAACTAATACAATAAATAATTAAATCATGTTAACTGAATAACCACCACTATATCAGTCTTTGTGTTAAATTAGCGAGAGATAGATGCTTATTACAACATTGTCTGATATAGGGGCAGTCCATTGTTATACCAATCCAACTTAAACATTTCATATGTTCTGATATGTGAGCTCATTCTGAATATCGATTATTAATAAATTTGAATTAAAAAAAAAGAAGAAAAAAAAAGATTTTATTGTAAAAAACCGTGGGGTGCTTTTCAGGATATTATCAAAATAACCCTTCTACTCATATCTGTTCATAAAATATTTATAACTACTGATACCATGCAGCCCACGCTTTTTTTACAATAAAATCATTTTTTCTTACACTATTTTTAATTCAAATTTATTAAAATTTATTTTCTATTTTTTAGTTGGATTTTCTACAAAAGCGTATTTTAGTTTAGTTTTTTAAACTATTATTAATTTTTCATTTTTAAGTTGAATTTCAATTTTTTCAATTATTTTTTTAAATATGGAATTGTCATCGGTCCTTAATAAGTATGCCAAATTTCTAGTTAATCCGACGTTTTGAAGGAGGTCAAAATCATGTTCAAAGATTCCGTTACATACGTCTGAAGCTAATAAAAGCGTATTAAAAAAAGAATTATTTTTCATATCGCCAAGATCGCGTGTCCTTACACCAATCTATATTAATATTATAAAGATTTGTTTGTATTGAATAGGCTCCGAAACTACGGGACCGATTGAAAAATTCATTCACTGTTTGGAAGCTGCACTATTCTCGAGTGACATAGGCTATAATCTTTTTTGAAAAAAATTAGGGATCCCTACTAACACTCCAATAATGTAACCCAAGGTGTAAAAAAATTACCTAAAATATTTTTTACATCGCGTGCCCTGCGAAAACTATTGATGATAGAATAAAATAATGTACTACGACTTGGTAGAACACATTATTATTTAAAAAAAAAGTGTCGCGACAGCATATGTCTAACTATTATAGTTATGCCGCAATAAGTGTTCTTTTATTTAAAAAAATAAAACAACGTCAAATATCATTGAAATCTTTGTTAAAGACTCGAGTGGGGCCGGAGCGGACCGCTTGTAAACAATAAGCTGGTTTCAGGTAAAAGAATAGTGTTCGCCGGAGATTCGGCTGGTGCCAATCTGGTCGCGGCTTGCACCGTGAAGATATTGTCGACCGGCCTGCGTAAGCCTGACGGCATGTTCTTGGCGTATGCTCCTCTCAACGTGAACTTCGTGCCGAGCCCGGCGCGGCTGCTGTGCCTAATGGACCCTATACTCCCCTTCGGGTTCATGATGAGATGTCTGAAAGGTAAGGTCTTATATATTTTAATTATTCAGCTACCTTTGACAGTTTCCAATGTGCACTCAGCTCAAGCTCTATAAAGAATAACATTGATTTCTAGAATGAAAAGCAAAAGTTAAACATGAACAAGATCTAGACTCGTAAAATTATAACTATAACCTACAACTGACTTGTATAAATATGGCCAATATCTTTAGGCCACCAGGTATCTTACATCTTTTAATTTTAGTATTGTATATATTAGTAACCAAAACTGGCGTTAAGGCATTGTTTAAATCCTCAATGAATTTCCGAGAGAATCATCTTTCGTCACAAAACGTAACTATTTAAAGCGCCATCTAGTGGAACGTCACGGCAGAAATTAAACATTTTCAAAGTCCTTCCATTATAGAAAGATCACGTCGAGGAAGTCGAGGCGGTTGGCCAACCCCACGTGGGGTCTACGGACCGTCGAGGCGGTTTACCCAGTCTTTGATGACTGGGTGAATCGTGGCCGAGGACGCCTCACCTTCCGTCTGGTGCAGGTGCTGACTGGGCACGGATGCTTTGGAAAGTATCTGCACCGGATAGGAGCTGAGCCGACGACGAGGTGCCACCATTGTGGACACGACCTGGACACGGCGGAGCATACGCTCGCTGTCTGCCCCGCTTGGGAGGTGCAGCGCCGTGTCCTGGTCGCAAAGATAGGACCGGACTTGTCGCTGCCTGGCGTCGTGGCGTCGATGCTTGGCGGTGACGAGTCCTGGAAGGCTANCCACCATTGTGGACACGACCTGGACACGGCGGAGCATACGCTCGCTGTCTGCCCCGCTTGGGAGGTGCAGCGCCGTGTCCTGGTCGCAAAGATAGGACCGGACTTGTCGCTGCCTGGCGTCGTGGCGTCGATGCTTGGCGGTGACGAGTCCTGGAAGGCTATGCTCGACTTCTGCGAGTGCACCATCTCGCAGAAGGAGGCGGTGGGGCGAGTGAGGCAAAGCTCTCCTCACTACGCAGAAATCCGCCGCCGCCGAGCAGGGGTTCGAGACCGGGGTCTCGTCCGTAACGCGGCCCCCTAAGAGCTTCGGGCTCCACCCGTTTTATGCGGGAAGGAGCCTAGGCGTGGGGCGGCGTGGTAAGCCGCGTTCCCCCGACCGCTCCGGGGGAAGGTGTAGCGCGGCGCCATCAATGCGGGCTCTTGGCCCGTCGACCGAGGGAACCGGCGGTCGTGTCGCTGGCCGGTCCGGCGTCTGGGGGACGGCGGGATGGATGTAATATGCTCTGCGTAAACCCTGTCCCGCCGTCTCAATCGCTCCGACTGGGTTCCCACCCGGTCCGGGGTAGAGCGCCGGCTGTGAGCGGCAGGAGTTTTTAGCGAGGTTAAACTCCCACATACCCCCACCCGCCGTGCGGGTGGGGATCCGGCGATTTAAATATATTCTAATATTTACGAACGAGTCTATATAGGAACGTAAATAAAAGTGAGCAGTCTTCAAGTGTAGATAAGAGTGTGCTTAGTGCGAGTTTTGTAACGTTCTCGATAGCGTAAAAGTTAGCTCATATTTGTATGGAGTGGGATCGTTTGTGTACGTTTGTCGCTAGATGCGCTGTTCCAACTGCCTACAAAATTGGATTAACTTTTACGCTATCGAGAACGTTAAAAAACTCACACTAAGCACACAGATCCCAAGTTACTAAACGATTATTAATTGATACTTGAAAGAGTCGTTTAGAACAGTCGCTGTATCAAATCGCCTCAACCGCACGTCGCAAGTGCAACAGCACTTGATTTCAGGTTTATGGTGAATTTCTACCTACCCTCTACAAATAGTATTTACGAGATTCTATTGATTTAGCCTACGCCAGTCCAAACATGAGCGGGTACAGCAAGGACAGCAAGGACGACAAAGAGAACAACCAAAGCGTTTTGCCGAACACAACAAGCACTCCGAGCGACACAAACGGCTTCCTGAAAGTTAGCCAGTCTCAAGGTATCTATCTTCTTTTTCTCTATATATAAAAATGAATTGCTGTTCGTTAGTCTCGCTAAAACTCGAGAACGGCTGGACCGCTTTGGGTAAATTTGGTCTTGAATTATTTGTGGAAGTCCAGAGAAGGTTTAAAAGGTAGATAAATATGAAAATGTTCGGAATTAAATAAAAATAACAATGTTGTTTTTCCTTTGATGTGTCCCCGTCGGACGGATTCCTTTTGTTTGTTTTAAGTTTATTTTATACAAAAGTTTAGGTATTTTATTTATCGATTGAGGCACTACGAAGTCTGCCGGGTCAGCTAGTTTGAAATTAATATTTAACTATAAAATAATTACGTAGGACGTACAGAAACAGTTCGAAGGTCAAATAAAAAAAATGCAGTGTATTTTTTTTTAACTCACTCCTGGACTATTAGATTGACTATTAGCTATTTATATACACATAACGGAATCTTTGAACGTAATTATCATCAATTTCAAGATGTCCGATTAACCTGAGAATCTGTATGATGACGATACAATAATCTTACTCGTTTTAGCCTTAATGTCCTGACCAGACATACATAAAAAACAAACCCGAAAAGGGTTCCAAAGAGAGTCCTGGAAGGACCTCCCAATTGGAGTGACCTTATTTATGACTTTTCTATTAACGTTTACCTGCATGCATGTTCGGGTGTGATTAAACAAACTGTATTTTAAGCTTTAATCCTTGACTTGCTTGCTTCTGCTGTAGAGCACTAATGATTTGTAGGGTTTGGTTACAGGATGGGGCAGCCGTTATAATATACAATTCAGTCTTAGACCTCGTGTCTCAAGGTGGGGAGGCCTCATTTATAAACAACAGTATTGTTACAAATAACTTAAGAACTATGTCGGTGTTACTTTTTTTATTAAAGTAAATCTAAGTATATCAAATCCGTCTCCGGCAGCCTCATCATGTAGAACATGCAGCTTGATGAACTTACCCAGGGTCGGTCCATCTAGCCTTTCTGCTAATACCCTCACCATACATAGTTAACATATCGACGCCTGAAAGGCAAACGTGACTAAGCGACAATGCGTGAGCTTTACAGTAGACTAATTTAAAGTTGAAATACCTGAAAAAAAATCTATTTTAACGAATCTAGCTGTAGGATTGTAATGATTTTAATAGACCTAGAAATATTTTTTTTTTGCGCATCGAATGCCTATCATTAATGTATAAAGCAGTTATTGTCGCTTAGTCACGTTTGCCTTTCAAGCGTCGATATGTTTCGAGAACGTTATTTCTTTACAATTTTCTTGTATACTAGCGACCCGCCCTCGCTTCGCTTCGGAAACATTAAAACACACATGAAAACAAAAAAATAAAATAAAAAAAATTAAAAAAAAGTAGCCTATGTTCATCAGGGACAATGTCGGCTCCTAATGGAAAAAGAATTTTTCAAATCGGTCCAGTAGTTTCGGAGCCTATTCGAAACAAACAAACAAACAAATCTTTCCTCTTTATAATATTAGTATAGATGTAATTTTATGAATACAGTTACATGGTACTGGTTTAAATCGCAGAAGGTATCAGCGAAGGTCCGTCGTCATTCGAAGAGGTTTCACCGTCGGACCTCGCCGAGCTTCAGGCGCACAAGTCCGGCAGCGAACGTAGGAAGTCCTCCGACACCACGATCAGTGCGGCCTCGTTGCAGAGCGAACACACCGTCACCGGTTAGTGAACCAGACCGGCCACTGTCACCACTTTCAGGGACTGAAATGGATTGGTGAAGTGGTGAATTGAGTTCGTTCGAGTCAAAGCACTTGAAGTATATGTGTGTGAGAATTTATTCCAAATGTATCCGCATATTGCTTTCCGGTGCACACTAGAAAACTCTCCTTACTATATGCACATACGATGCTAAAAAAGTCACTTAAACAATTTTTCTTAAAAATGAACTGAGTATGAGAAAAAACATTTTTTAATAGTTTTTTTTATTAGTGAGACGAGGGAGATGTTTGCTTTTTTTTTTATTGCTTAGATGGGTGGACGAGCTCACAGCCCACCTGGTGTCAAGTGATTACTGGAGCCCATAGACATCCACAGCGTAAATGCGCCACCCACCTTGAGATATAAGTTCTAAGGTTTCAAGTATAGTTACTTCATTTTATTTCTATAGCCTAGCAGAATTTTGTAAGAATTATATATAATAATGTGTTGAATTTTCCAACGTTTCTCCTGAAAAATTGCATAATTTGCATAAGTCGCGTTGTGGCACCGTATGTGCGATATCCGATCAATGAAACCGCTATACACTGATTACTTCTATGGATCTTCGATGATGTTGTTCATGTTACGGATCTAATGATGAAGTCTGATGCTGGCCTCTCAACGACGAAACACAATAACGCCATAACTTAGTTAGTTTTAATAATAATAATAATAATAATAATTGAGAGCAAATCGCGCATGGTTATCCGGCCCCAAATTAGGGTTCCCTGTGTTATGGGTACCAGAGACGGACATAAATTTTTATGTATGTTTAAATATATAGATAATAAACACCCCAGACAAAGAGCAAACAAGTCTGCTCGTAACACGAAGTTTTGCCGGATGTGGGAATCGAACCCACGACCCTCGACGCAACAGTCAGCGTTGCTAACTACTGCACCACTAAGTCAATCAGTCAGTTAGTTTAACTGTAGTTTATACCACGGATAGGTACCGCCACCCTGCCTAATTCTGCCGTGAAGCAGTAATGCGTTTCGGTTTGAAGGGTGGGGCAGCCGTTGTAACTATACTGAGACCTTAGAACTCATATCTCAAGATGGATGGGGGCATTTACGTTCTAGATGTCTATGGGCTCCAGCAACCGCTTAACACCAGATGGGATGTGAGGTTGTCTACCCATCTAAGCAATAAAAAAAAACAAAGGCGCTTTGTTGGTTCAAGGCACAACTCCTCCCGAGGACAAGTCGCAACAGTACGTCACGGATTTCTTAGAGCGCTACGTGCTGGACAGCGATACTGACTCCGAGGGGCGGAAACTGAACAAAGCACCCAACAACGATGTCTCACAGAGGTACTGGATTTGTGTTTAAATAATAAGAACTCTCGTCATTACGGATCCTCCCGATCCATTAACGGTGCTTTTAGGTACCTCAAGCACCGGTCACCGTCCCCGTCGAACCCCGTCGCTTGCAATGAAGGGCTCGGCGAGTAAATTAACCCATAGACACAGCCCACTGAGTGTCTCGCCGGATCGTCTCAGTGGGTCGCGTTTCCGATCCGGTAGTAGATTCTGTGAAGCACTTCTCTTGCTAAGGTTAGTATTAGCAACGTCGTCAGGTTAGAGCCCCGTGAGCTCACCTACTAATTCGGCGAATCTAGTATAACCCCTTGAGGTTACTAGAATAGGTAGGAAAGAAAATATCGACAGCAGCGAAGTAAGGTGCATTTCAGAATGAGGTCCACTTAATTTAAATTGATTTTTGTTAAAAATATATGTTAAATATAAAAATGATGCTCGTGGAAAGTGGTGCACGTGAAAGAAGTTAAACTTCTTTTGCGGTGTGTATTTACCATTCATATTTATTTTAAATTATATATAGGTTTTTTTTTTATGTCTTTCATGAAAAATAAAATGTAAAATATTACTTCCATCTATAGGAGCAATGAGTGATTAATAACAAGCCATCTAGTGGCGGACGCCCGTAAACAGAATGTGTTTAAGAGAAACGAGTTAGCTCGCTTTGTCCTTTCCCTCTCACCACGGTCAAGTGGTTCGCGAGACGCTCTCTATTTTGTCACCCTCGCTCTTCCTAAATTGTATCTTTTCTCTCTACCTGTAACAAATCTGACGCAAGTTAAATTTTACTCTCAACGCGCCTAAAGAAGTTTCACTTCATAAAATGTCTTAAACTAACGTAGACCGAGGGTAATTTGTGACAAAACAAAAATAATGACATTCTATTCTTTTATTTAAGTACGTATTTCATTACAAAAATTAGTACCTGTCTGCTAGATTCGAACACGGGCACAGTCGCGTCGCTTGATGCGAATGCACCGGGCGTCTTATCCTTTAGGCCGCGACGACCTCAAATGTGTTTGTCATGTTTGCAATAGGGAGATCGAATCGGAAAACTCCAGTACACTGGTCGCCGAAAAACCGTTGACAGTCCCAACAGAAGAGGAGGGCCCCGACAACAGGATGAAGATTAAAACCAGGTAAATACAAATAAATGCAGTTGATTTGGAGTAGCTGGAACTGTGAATCTATTTCACAGAGTTAACTATACGAAACATGGCTCTTGTCCGGCTACATAATAGCGAGGCGTGAAAAGCGAATTTTGTTTAAGCGACATTTCGCTTAATACGCGATATTTATTTGTTACTGATGGTAGGACCTCTTGTGAGTCCGCACGGGTAGGTACCACCACTCTGCCTATTTCTGCCCTGAAGCAGTAATGCGTTTCGGCTTAAAGGGTGGGGCAACCGTCATACTACAACTGAGACCTTAGAAGTCTTGTCTGAAGTCGGGTGGCGGCATTTACGTTGTTGATGTCTATGGGCTCCGGTAACCACTAAACCGGTAGGCGGTGAGCTCGTCCACCCATCTAAACAAAAAAAAACTGTAATTAAAGGTCGGTTTTATTTGATAGCATCAACAAGTCGATGTTTTGCTTGAACTTCAATTATGTTTACCCCATTCAAAAGCTGAAGAACTTTTTTGTCATATTTTTTCCAAATTTTGATCTTTATAGAGGCTTAATATAGTAGTAATCTTTTACCTCTCGTTATCATATGCCTTGTCATATAGATGTATATTATTAAGTTTAAAAATATGTATATATACACATGTGTACAAATAAAATAGTGGTGGATGTACGTATGTGCGTATTGTGTTTCATTTATTGTTAATTTAAATTAATAAATATATTTTCTCTGTTTTCACTTTCTACTCATATGTGATTTTTGGTTTTTGTTTACCTTTTTTTCATATATTATACGAGTATGTGAAGACATGAGTTGATGAGGGGAAAATGATACAATTTGTTTATTTTGAGAAAACGGGCAGCAAACTTTTGTTACTTGTACTTTTTCTTTGTACATAGGTCCTTCATCATGTGCAATTTCAAAAAATTAACTTTAAACCCGGAGTTTTAAGGTCTAATATGGTTTATAGGCACATAACATTCTGATTCGATGTAAAAACTCAAACATCTTAAAGATCCAATCTCTGCAAAGCTTTTATAGTCGATACGACATCCCTAAATTTAGCGGGAACATTCTGGGCAAGTCGAGTAGCTTTGATGTGTGTTTTCGCTATGTGACAATAGATGGCGTTGTACTTTACGCGCTTTCTCGTCGTTACGGGTTTCTTTGGTATTCGTTTCGGCTATTCGGCGATAGATAGCGTTACTCTTAACAGTACTATTGATTTCCCTAATAAATAAATGTGTCGCAGAATAAGTGAAGCGGCCACCGGCTTCATGGGCGCGATGCAGACCAGGCTGGCCTACATCACGGGGTCCAGCGCCATCGTCAGGCCCACACAGGAAGAGTGAGTAACGAGTTGGTTTATACATTACAACTTCGATATAACAAATCGGAAGGGAACAAGTAAATATTCGTTACAGTAGATTGGGGGGAAATAGACTAGATTTAGAATAGGGACAAATCTGGGATGTCACACTACTTTTGTTGAGTTGTTAGAGATTTAACTTTGTTGAACTGAAAATGACTTTTATGTAGTGTTTAAGAATATTAAATAGTTTAATTTAGTCATCAAAGAAAAAATTAATTAAATATATTAAAAAGTTACTAAATAGTGCAAGCCCTATTGAAAAACTGTATTGTCCCCATACGTAACCTGATTCACCCCAAAGCCAAAGTGAATCGGGTCAAGCTAGTTTCAGTTTTTGTGTATATTTTTAATGAACTATGTATAATAACTCATCGTATATAAAAAAAATTGCCTCTGGAACCATTTTAATCTTCATTTTATTGATATTACCCTAAGAAAAATCATTGATTTTTATCGGATTTGGAAAGGGTCCTGATTCCCCCCGATCTGCGGTCAAGTAATTCGGTAAACTGAAGTTTTTTATATTAAGTTTAGGTTGGTCTACCATTTTTTATAACGAGGTAAACAAATAGTTATATTCACCTCAACATTACATACTCATCTTGTTATAGCGAACAACTTCTTCTACTAATAAAATATGATAACACATTTTTATCAAATCACGGTCTGTATTTTCTTTTAAAACAATTAGGTAGGTAACAATTTTTCTCAAACCTGTCGAGACTGGTTCACATACCGGATTAAGGGTCATATTGGTGGGAACGTTATATAAAGGTTTTGGGTGGACAAAATTCGTTAGTTAAAAGGAGTTTCACTTTTTTTATAGTTGAAAATTCATTATAAAGAGGTGTTCGCATTAAATCTTCGCAATGTAAAGGTGTATTTTACATTGACTTATAGAAAATTCAAGCGGATAACGAAGAATTTATTAAATCGAAGACGTCATTATGTTGAGGTTGCACTGTACTCCACTTCGATTAAGCGGCACGACACGAGAACCCTCTCATCGTGGCCGCCGGAAACTGCATTCCCGATCCTGTGGACAGAATGGGAAGCAGTCGACGTCGCCCCAAACACGTCATTTCGGATCCTCCCGATCCACTAACGGTGCTTTTAGGTACCTCAAGCACAGGTCATCGTTCACGTCGAACCCGTCGCTTGCGACGAAAGGCTTGACGAGTAAATTAACTCTCAGACAAAGCCCACTGAGTTTCTCGCCGGATCTTCTCAGTGGGTCGCGTTTCCGATCCGGTGGTAGATTCTGCGAAGCACGGCTCTTGCTAGGGTTCATGTTAGCACGTCGTCAGGTTTGAGCCCCGTGAGCTCACCTACTAGTTAAGGTTACGCTGAAATAGCCTCTCAAGGCTCTCAGCTAGGTAGGACAAAAAAAAGCACTGTATCACGAAACAGCCATTTGTACGTCTTTGAAGCGATCGGAACAAATTGCTCTTGTTACGTTTAACATAAGAGCTTTTTGCATCCACTTTAACGTATCTTTTCTGATGAAATTCTATTAATCGATTTTAAAATTTATTACTGATGAGTTTAGAGACGGATTTTCAAGAGCCACGCCTTGGATTCCACATTCAAGTATTTCAAAGTGGAACTTAAAGTTTCTGTTTAGCGGGATTGTCCGAATTTTTCATAAAGACCCTCATCATTAAACCTTTTATAAATAATAACCCTTGAAACGTTCAGCTTGGCGGTACGCACGAATTTGGATGCTCTGATAGCTCGCAGTCCGTCCGAAGAGTTCATATTCTCGGTGCCTCGGGACCCTTATCTGTCTCCGTACTGGGCCGATGATGAACTGCTCAAGATGTTCCCACCCGTCAGGATATTGGTAAGTGTCTTTCGACAACGATGACTCGGTTATAAGTACCGAACGCTGATACATATTCACCGGTCATCGTTCTCGTCGAACCCGTCGCTTGCGACGAAGGGCTCGACGAGTAAATTAACCCTCAGACCCAGCCCACTGAGTTTCTCGCCGGATCTTCTCAGTGGGTCGCGTTTCCGATCCGGTGGTAGATTCTGCGAAGCACTGCTCTTGCTAGGGTTCGTGTTAGCAACGTCGTCAGGTTTGAGCCCCGTGAGCTCACCTACTAGTTAAGGTTAAGCTGAAATAGCCTCCCAAGGCTATTTTAGCTTAGGTAGGAAAAAAAAACAAAAAAAAAACACATGCGTTTAGGGCCTTAAATATTAAATCAAGAAACCAAAGATTGAAAAAAAGAAAAAAAAAATTGTCAACCAAACAATCGACCGTATTTAAAGGCAAATAAGAATCAAAATCGTCTCCAATAAAACAAACACCAAAATAAACATGGAAATTTTAATCTAAAGTCTTCTATCAGTTGTAACTTCACGAACCTATGGAAATAAAAACTTTTTTTTAATTTAACGTCAGTACTAAAACTGTCGTAGTATACCGGTCAAATAGACTATTGACTAAATTTTGTAAACTTTACACATTTACATATTATGATACTGTTATCTAACTATAAATAAATTATTTGAATGTGCACGTAATATTTTCTTCACTCTTTACTTGTAGTTTTTTGTTTTTTCATTTTCCAAAAAAAGAAGCAATTATCAATTTGATTGCAGACCGTACATTTGGACCCGTGCCTGGACGATTGCGTGATGTTCGCCAAAAAATTGAAAACACTCGGAAACGTTGTCGGCATCGAAGTATTAGAGGGCCTGCCTCACGGATTCCTCAATTTCTCTCTCGTGAGTGACTTGTATATTATTATGCTTATTAATGTCTCTGGAAGCAGACGACCCTATACTGCCTTTTGGGCCTTATCTCCTCAGGTTAGAGCCCCGTGAGCTCACCTACTCATTCTGCGAATTTGGTATAACCCCTCGAGGTTACTAGAATAGGAAGGAAAATGCCCGTATACTGGTGGTAGGATCTCTAGTGAGTCTGCACGGGTAGGTACCACCGCTCTGCCTATTTCTGCCGTAAAGCAGTAACGCGTTTCGGTTTGAAGGGTGGGGCAGCCGCTGTAGCTATACTGACCTTACAACTTATATCTCAAGGTAGATGGCGGCATTTACATTGTAGATGTCCATGGGCTCCGGTAACCGCTTAACGCCAGGTGGACTGTGAGCTCGTCCAACCGTCTAAGCAAAAAAATATTTATAGACCGCACTTACTCTAGACTTTGTCGATGGATTTCACTGTCATAAACAATGTCAAATTAAAATTTATCGATTATTGAAAGAGAGAGAAATTTATCTCAATAATATGAGACTGCCTCGTGACAGATCTGGGTAGGGTAGGTTAAGCCTTGCCACTAAAAGACCTTAACTGAAGTACTTCATAGTAAAATCGTGTCGTGTCTTTTGTTTTAATTTCTTGACGCGAATTCAATGATTCGCTCGCACTAGTTTTGCACATTAATAAAAACTGTTCCCTGTTAATAAATCCCTCCTGGCTGAGTCTTTCTCGCTTACCTGTCCTGATGAAGATTAAAAAAAACCTGAAACTAAATCGGTGTCAACAGATGGTCAAGGAAGCGAACGAGGGTTCGAAACTTTGCGTCGAGAGAATGAAGCAGTTATTCGATTTGGACGCGGCGCCCGCGGCCGCCGATAACCAATTATGAATGTGTGGCCTCTGCTGCCTTAAAACGTAGTCGTTACGAGGCGAGGCTGCACGCGGTGCCTGTAATCAATCGAATCGGAACTTATTGACAAAAATGAAAAAAACAATCGAATTTTAAAAATCGATTGTCTATTCGTAAATAATTCGGTATTATGCGAACAATATATATGTGTATATATATTCGGACTATTGTGAGTTTAAAAAATAAATACTATTTTGTGGGCTTATTACAATACGTACATGTGATTGATCATACTTTTACGGTTTAATCTTAAAATATCCGTTATATTTCGTTGAATTGTTTGGTTTTAGTACACTCAAGGCAACCCCATATTAATGCTGGCAATTCCGTGATTAGCACGCTATATGTTTAATCCAGAAAATGAATTTATTATAATTTGTTTATAATATTTGGTAAATTATTTTATTTTCTAAGTGGAAACACCGAGCTTTGTATAAGAATCTCGGTTATTTCACGTTTCCTGTGAAATTTGTTTAAGGACATACAAATAAAATAGAGAAACGAAATATGCCTATAGTGTATTAAAACATGTTATTGTACACAATGTACACTGTTTACAATGGGGCTTCATTGCCAATTACTATGAGAACGTTAGTTTCATTGTTACGTTTAGTTTATTTTAAATTTTAATGCAGAATTAAAGTAAAGTAAAAGAATAGATTTGAAAATCCTTATAAATCATGTATAGATAAATTATTAATCGCGTGTGTTCCGAATAAAAACATGAAACGGATTTTGTATGTGAAATGTTGTTCTCGGCTCGACAAATTTACTTTGGGCTTGGACACACCAATCGATACCAAGTCGAGGATCGATATGGAACTTGCCCAGCAAGGTATCCAAGGTCCTTGATGTACGTCTAGGATTCAACGCACCTGAGACTGCCGCTGCTATTTCTAAGCGAAGTGTGCGTACGATGTTGCTTTGCTTCGTCATTCGGTGAATCCAAACATATAGAGGGATTGGCGTGTCGAATGTCAATTTTGAAATTTACCACAAAGACTGTACAGATTTTTTAGTAAAACGTTACCTTAGAACTTACTTCAAGCCAAATAACTGATTAGTACAGTTTAAACGAATAGCTCTACATAAAAATCATGTAGCGTTCCTTTGCATTAAAATATCACTGATATTTATCACTGAAGTATTATTGTACAGCAATTTACAATAAGATGCTTACGTAATATTAATATATATTCCAAATAAATAATGTCAACGTCCTTAAAACAATATGCTCACTAGAACTTGCTATAGAGGAATATATAAAGTCCTAATTCTAGTTAGATCTCTCAATAAGATCTGTCCGCATGTTTCGACCAAATGAAAGTTACTTAGATTAAATTAAAATAGTATATTTAGTGTTATTAAATTTTACCTTAGATTTATCATTGTTCAGTTATGTTTGATAGAAGTTATTTAAACCCAAAAATAAAAACGTGTACTGTCATGGTGTTGCAAGAAAAAATAAATGCTTCCAAAGTGAAAAAAAAAATGGCAATTGAATGATCGCAATATTTTAAAAGCATTTTAGCTGTACGTACCTGATTGAACAAACACACTGCATTGCTTTAATACTTGATATTTGTAGTGATTGTAACCTTAAATTTATATTTATATATATTTAAATATATTGTTACTAGTAAGTACTAGGTAGTGTATATTTGTAAACAAAGATGAAAAATTAAACTAACTGTTTATGAACAAGATGTGTCGTATATTATTTTTTAATATAATTAATGTGATATATTTAATAAATGTAGTTTACAAATACGTTAATTATTCTGAATATAAAAAATATCTTAATGTCAATATTATATATTGTAACAAATTAAATAGTCCTAATTAAACCCTGTCACTATACTAACTAACCCTATTAAATGACACTATCGAGTTATTAAAGACCCTGTTAAATAATAGTGTTTACAATGTATATAACCTCAAAAGTTTAAAACAATTCATAATCCAAAGTAAATTAATGAACCATGTTTTTAGTTACTTCAAAAACTTATCACAACCAAATTAACGTAAAATTGAAGAGATTATATATAATCTGTTCAAATAAACTGTAATTCTATTTTTGCCTTGGTTTTATATGTAAAATACAATTATTTTTTTGTAACAAAAAGTTCGTTAAAATGTTGCATTAGATAACATATTTGCTATATCTTTGTTTCGTAAAATAAAACAATTAAAATTAATTTAATAACATTTTTATAAATGGTTTTTGTTTTTAAAAACTTTTTTAAAAACCTTTTTTATTATTGTCTGACACATAAAATGTTATTGAACATATACAATGTACTATGTACCAAAGTTGCCTTTATCAGTATTTCAACTTATTTACTGATAATATTATTGGTATTATTATATAATTCCTGATTTAGCTTCAAATTTCAATTTAGAATGATTTTAAGCCTATCAAGCTAATCAATGCAGCAGCCTGAACCAATTCATTATTGTTTTATACAATAATTAATTTCAATAATGAATTCAATTAATATTTCAATAGCATATTAAATATTAACATCTGTGATAATGAAATGATGTTTGTAAAAATGTTAAGAACAGCATTTAAACGAAACACGTACTTACTAATTATATTGTATCTTCTAATAAATGAGTCGTCTATTATCAAAGGTGGCAATCTGTACATTTGGACAAAAAAATGTTATTGATATGTCAATACAGATTGATTTGAATATAATCGTCTCCTTCAAAGAATACGGTTCAAAACCTGCATTAAATAAAGGTTAATACTTAACCTGTTATTTATCTAAGATGTCGTTCAGAAGAGTTTTGTGACTGCCAATGGAATACAAAGTCAATAATTCGTTTTTCTAATTTACCAANAAAGTAAATTAATGAACCATGTTTTTAGTTACTTCAAAAACTTATCACAACCAAATTAACGTAAAATTGAAGAGATTATATATAATCTGTTCAAATAAACTGTAATTCTATTTTTGCCTTGGTTTTATATGTAAAATACAATTATTTTTTTATAACAAAAAGTTCGTTAAAATGTTGCATTAGTTAACATATTTGCTATATCTTTGTTTCGTAAAATAAAACAATTAAAATTAATTTAATAACATTTTTATAAATAGTTTTTGTTTTTTAAAAACGAATATCCCTTTTTTATTATTGTCTGACACATAAAATGTTATTGAACATATACAATGTACTATGTACCAAAGTTGCCTTTATCAGTATTTCAACTTATTTACTGATAATATTATTGGTATTATTATATAATTCTTTATTTAGCTTCAAATTTCAATTTAAAATGATTTTAAGCCTATCAAGCTAATCAATGCAGCAGCCTGAACCAATTCATTATTGTTTTATACAATAATGAATTTTGCAACATTTTGACCCCAATGGTTTAATAATGTCACAATTTTTTCGCCGCTGGCGTAAATAGATCCTATTTTTATCTCGAAATTGCTTCATTTCGCTTACGTCGTCGTGGCCTAAAGGATAAGACGTCCTTAACGAATACGTACTTAACAAATGTTCACGATTGACTTTCACGGTGAAGGAATAACATCGTGTAGTAAAAATCAAACCCGCAAAATTATAATTTTATACAATAATGAATTTCAATAATGAATTCAATTAATATTTAAATAGCATATTAAATATTAACATCTGTGATAATGAAATGATGTTTGTAAAAATGTTAAGAACAGCATTTAAACGAAACACGTACTTACTAATTATATTGTATCTTCTAATAAATGAATTCTTAAAGAGATTGTAAAATATATATATATCGACGCTTGAAATGCAAACGTGACTAAGCGACAGTGCGTGAACTTTACAGTAGACTAATTTAAAGTTGAAATACCTGAAAACAAAATTTATTTTAACGAATCTAGCTGTAGTAGAATCTAGCTAGTAGCTGTAGGATTGAAATGATTTTAATAGACCTAGAAATATATATTTTTTACGCATAGAATATGGTCATTGCCTATCATTTATGTACAAAGCAGTTATTGTCGCTTAGTCATGTTTGCCTTTCAAGCGTCGATATATATATAATAAATATTTTTATAGTGCATCGCATTTGGTTTTGTGAAAGATTTAATTTACACAACTTTAATGTGATATGTAGTTATTTGATCGAAATGTCTTGATGTTAACTAAGTATGTTTACTTAAAATTAATAAATACAATATTAAACTAGCATGCACCACGTTTTGTATATTTATTTCCCGTGTAAGAATGACTCGGCGTTAAGCTCTGCAGTGTTGTGGTTAACCGAGATATTGTATATCAGTAATGTAAAATTTTGAAAAGGATGACTAGTCACAACATATTATATATAATATACTAAATGTTATTATGTTACTTATTTAAATAAATTATTGAATTAGACTGCTGGGTTTCATTGCTGTAAAAAAACATTTTCTATCTTGATCAGGATATTAAGTCTATTATAAAGTTATTGTAACCTCATCGGTGTTTGGTCTGAATACAAGTTATAAAGTTCGTCCGATGTCTTGAAGTTAGTGAAAACTTGTCCAGTCATCGTTCTCGTCGAACCCGTTGTTTGCGACGAAGGGCCTGGCGAGTAAGTTAACCCACAGACACAGCCCACTGAGTTTCTCGCCGGATCTTCTCAGTGGGTCGCGTTTCCGATCTGGTAGTAGATTCTGCGAAGCACTGCTCTTGCTAGGGTTAGTGTTAGCAACGTACGCAGGTTTGAGCCCCGTGAGCTCACCTACTTCTTACGGGTTACGCTGAAATAGCCTATCAAGGCCATCAGCTTGGCTGTAGGATAAAAAAAGTGAATATTATTTTGAAAGTTTAAGATACAATACAATAGATAAAAAGGAGCATTAAAAAAAACGTGTGCGTCTCAGGACGCCCGACAAAAGTGTTATTTTAAACTAATCTAAATTAGACTATTTAATATTGAAATCGTTTAATTTGAGAAAAGCTTAGATTATTCCTTAAATTTTAAGTATGTTATTATGATAATGTATTGAAAATTGTAATATAAATTGAAAAAGATATACAAATAGTTAGGAGTTACATGCGGTCTCAGTACCGCTGCCGTATGCGTGAGAGAAAGAGAAATTAGCCGAACTGGCGCCGTAACGCGTTACGTAACGACGCAGTTTACCCTCCCATAAGTTTTCACTTCAAAAATGAATGGAATACTATGATTACTTTAATAATTATAACTACCTAAGTACCCGAGCGGCCAAGCAACATGCCCCACCGCCAGATATAAACAGATGACTATTTTTTTATTTTGCCATGTCTGCTGCATAAAATAGCAGAATTAGCTAAATCATTACTTGCTTGATTGTCACAAACGCTTTTCATTGAAATTAAATCTACCATTGCATTTTTCATGCAATCAATATATTAATACAAGTACATATTAGGTACCTACTATTTTTTTCGCTTTCCCCCCAATCTAACTGATCTGTTTGAGTTCCCTTATCTCTGTGATATCAGGTGCTGTCACAGTGCTAGGTTGTTGCAAATATCACAGGAGAAAATGGTTCATGACGTCGCTGGCACCATTCATTCTCACTAATTTCTATGCAGATTTGAAAAAAGATTGGACTGTTTTGTTTGTTTTCTGTACACAAAAACAGGATAATCCAATAGTGCATTGGAATAAGTCTACTCGAGCCGGATGTCAGAATTGCTTCGTATTAACGAAATGTGCAGAACTATTCGTATCACCCGTCCTTACTTAATATTAGGAAAGTGATCAAAAACGGATAGCTAAAGACTACTAAGGACGCATTATGAAAAAGACTATTAACAAAGACTAAGAACTTAGCAGCTTAAAGAATAATATTTTGGTGTTAGAGGTAATTATTTCAACAGAGTACCGCGCAAAATTATTACAGAACACTTTGCATAGCACATTTCACTAGATTAAACAATTCTTATTGTGCACACGTTAAGTAGATGCTGGTGCAATAAAAATTAATGCTGCCGTTCACCTTTTTACCGATAAGTGAGCAGGAAAAGTCTTACTTTGTTTCGTAGTTACCTACGTCTACACAACGTCAATATCGATCGATGCTCTCTTACCTTGAGGTCGAAGCCACATTTGTATTTCAATATCGGGTAACTCATTAATCGCTTTGCAGCAGTAATAAGTAACGGTAACTCAAGGTTAACGTTCAATGAATAATGATCAATCCTATTTATCATCCTATGATGGCGTTTTATCACAAAATTAGAACATAATAACACCTCCAGTATGATAACGAAATATTTAATACTACTGGAATCAAATCATTTACATATTTTATTTATCCACAATCCATCACACTGATTCGATGAAAACTTAAAAGCGCTCTAGAAATATTAACTCCACTGTATTAAACCTAATAGAAAAAAGTATACATATTATATGACTCAGCAACATTTTGACCCCAATGGTCTAACAATGTCACAATTTTTTCGCCGCTGGCGTAAATAGATCCTATTTTTATCTCGAAATTGCTTCATTTCGCTTACGTCGTCGTGGCCTAAAGGATAAGACGTCCTTAACGAATACGTACTTAACAAATGTTCACGATTGACTTTCACGGTGAAGGAATAACATCGTGTAGTAAAAATCAAACCCGCAAAATTATAATTTGCGTAATTACTGGTGGTAGGACTTTTTGTGAGTCCGCACGGGTAAGTGCCACCACCCTGCCTATTTCTGCCGTGAAGCAGTAATGCGTTTCGGTTTGAAGAGTAGGGCAGCCGTTGTAACTATACTGAGACCTTAGAACTTATATCTCAAGGTAGGTAGCGGTATTTACGTTGTAGATGTCTATGGGATCCGGTAACCGCTTAACACCAGGTGGGCCGTGAGCTCGTTCACAAACCTAAACAATAAAAAGAATATAATTATATATAAAAAAGTCGTCTACTCTGTTCTCTATTAATGACCCTTGGGAATATTCTTTTAAACAAACATAAAAACAATGAAGGTAAATCAAACATTTCAAAAAACAGTTTATTTAAAATTGTTTATTAATCTAGTAGTTATGTACTGCTAGTCTGAATTCAAATGTAGTTATGGGTAATAATACAAAGTTTACATTACAAATTTTGGTAACAGATATAAGAATAGCTTCAGGCGAGGTACTAGACGGTTCTCTGCCTATTATATTCATTTTTTATGAATGAATCTAAAGAATTAGCGATAACAAGCCCTCTTTAACATTTTAATTTCATAGTTTTTTGTCCCTATATATTTAAAACTGGCAATTATTATCCAATTTGTGTAATACGCATCCGATAGCATAATTGAAACTTCGTTATTTTGAGAGAAGAAAGCGAGAAATTTCATTCGTCTGATACTGATTTTCCAAAATTGTATACCTATGCGGATAAATTAGGGGTTGAAAGTATATTTCGGAAATTCGTCAGTTTTTAAGGAAAAATCATGAATATTGGTATTAAAACTTTTTTCGTTACGCCAGATATTCAATACGAAGACAGGATTCGCTATTTGGCGTATGTATGTATATGCAACCCCTGTTATTTTCATGATCTTATCATAATAATATCCATCGGAAATTAAACGCCTAGACCGCTTGATCCTGTCGTTTCATAGCAGAACTGCACCATTACAATCCTAAGACACTATTCTGTAGACTTGAAAATTTCCATTAAAATTTCACATCAATACCAAATTTTACTGCAGAGATGAAAAACTAAGCATTGTTGCAATTAACTTCTTGCAATTGGCAAATTTAAGTTACATTGTGACGAGCGAACAAGAACAATTAAATCATTAACATTTCCTGACCTTTCAATAGATTTACCTGCAATCAAAGATGCTCCATCCGCGCCTGAATCTTTATGGAATTATTAACACACGCGTATTAATGATTATCCCAAATTATCAATTTTACCTTGCTCATGAATATTTTATTATACATCATCACTTGTTGTCTTACTAGAAATGTTCTTTAGATGAACCATCTAGTACCCCCTTTACATTTTCTGGAGCTACGCACGCAAATTAAATCAAATACATTGTTCAAATGCGCGTGTAGTTAATAACCGTAACAATAAAAAATACGTTATATTTTCAACATAATTTACACAAAACAAGCAAACAAAATCCTGTAGTAACTGTTTAAAAGTCATATTTTTCACGTTCATTACTTTAATGTTCAATTCATTGCGAGGCGTACAAACGTTCGTTTTGGAAATCGAGCTTAATGTAAATATATTATTATTATCTTACAAGTAAATACTACAAATTTATTATGTGAAGAAAAATGGACACTACTTTTATGTTTTATGAAAATGTTACTAGAACTACAGCTATTAGATTATATATTATGATTTTTTTTATTTATAGAATGTATAAATCAGATGATGAATGCTTAAAACGTAGGTTCAAATAAAAATTATATGATACCAGATTGTTATTTGTTTTAAAACTAAAATTTATTTTGTCAAATGATCATGCTGACCATATCACCCCAAAGGAAATAAATTTCTGTGGTAGTGAAATGTGTATCACTTGCCATATTAGAGATACAGAAAACCACAATGTTTTAGGAAATGTAATATTTTCATATATTGATAAACCTTATCATTTAAAAAAAAAAGAATGGTGAATGATTTTTTTTCTCTCTTTTGCCATATATTTTTATATGCTGTAGTTGAACTTCTAAAATTATAAGTAACCTTTGCCTTATGACACTGTTTACTTAATTCTTTATAACTAATTTTGCTTTGTGGATAAAATTTTTGTTCCGATTTTAGATTCAGAAAATTTTTCAAATGTATTATAATTAGGGTCGTTTTTGCATGACATGCACAATTCTTTCTTTATTTTGTGATCTCTATCTCCAACTATTTTTATTAAAATTAAGAATCCATACAAAAGTAGATTCTAAGTGTTGTTTCTTTACTACAATATGTTACTGTCTAATGTAAATATTTTTTGATTACAGTTCATAAACCAATAAAACGATTCTTATCAACAACTGATACCAATGCCTTGGATGAATATGGTCAGTCAGAAGTACTATTTCTTAATATAAAATTTTGCCTTTACATTATGAAATTTGTTACTTATTTTTGGATTACAGGCGACTTTTTAACCATTCGGTGAAAATTATTCATAGGATAAAATACAAGATAAATTAACAACTACAGTTCTGTACAGAAAATAATTTCAATTCAATCAGTTTCGATATAAGTTCTAATTTACTTGATGGATATTTCATATTGATTGAAAAATCAACCCTTAATCATATTCATATTCCTTCAAGGATAGTGCCTGCTTGTTTTTTCAAGTATCACATTATGTGAATGAAGTAAATACAAAAACTCATGAGGAAAAACAGATTTTAAAACATATAGTTAAACATATAGTGAAAATTTATACAAATTTACTTTTAGGCCTCAATATTATGTAATATTAAATGTAAGGTGGTGGTAGCATTTAATTTGTTTATCAAAGAAATTTCTGGTATGTAGAATTTGGCACCCTAATTTTTGGTTTAATCTTACTGAACATTGGGTATGGATTCAACTTAAAGTTAGTAATTACTTATTAACTGCTATAATTACATTTAGCTCTAATCATGACTGTTATTTAACATAATTATCACTTGCTCATTTGACATAGTCCAGAATTTACAAATAAAACATTATGTTGTTTTGTTGTGAGCCTGCATCATAGCCGTTTGTCTTTGTGTGTGATACTGACCCGTTGACCAAAGGTGTGCTCGGTAGTCTTATGGTCTTTTGTAAGACATGAGCATCTGCTGGTTCTATTCTCTTATAGTAACGTTCTTTTGTTTCAACAATTTCAAAGCCGAATTTCTTGTAAAAGTCTATTGCACCTTCATTATTCACTTGTACATGTCTAAAATAAAGATTGTATCTTTTATTTACTGTATTAATTGTGATTAATATTTACTTGAATCGCTTCACACACCAAAGGACCAATTAAGATATTTAACCTTCAATCTCAATATATATATAGACATTGATTCAATAAATAAACAAATCTGAAGCTAAACAACTGATGATAAACCTGACCTAATGATAAAGTATATACTCACAAAAAAATACTGTCAAAATTGCCATCCTGTTTCACATAATTGAGCACATGCTTAACCATCATTGAACCAATACCAAGTCTTCTATATGGATACAAGCATCCCAGTGTCATAATGTAAAGCCGCCGAGAGTTCTCCGATGTGTCTATCCTGCAGCACACGGCTCCCACCACTATGTCATTATAATAAGCTAATTTTGCGAGTTCACCAGCCTCCAGAACATCTTTGTAAAACTTATCATTATATGACACTGGAAATACAACTGTGTTCAATTTTTTCAACTGCTTTATATTATGCGGCGTCACGTCGCCGAGTTCTATTTTAGCTCTGTAAAGGGAATGTGCTGGTTGAAAGAAACTCAAATGATATTGATGATACTTTTTTGATACAAGCCTTATGATAAATGAACATTCATGTTTATGTTATGTAAGTTTAATGGAGACTTACCTAGTCATTTTAACAACTAGATTCAACTAAGCTAAGTATATAAACACTAAAATTTTACTTTACCTAATCTACTCAATTCTACAACACAAGACAAGTCCACTCCCGCCATCTACGTACGGAATCTAAATCTGACTGCACAGACTACTTAATGTAATTCACTCCTTTATTTTAGTCTGTGGGCTTTTACCTCGAGTTTTTGGGCTTTTTAGCGAAAACGTACGGAGCCAAGCTTTGTGAATTCAATTTCGTGTTTCTTTAGGTTTAAATGTGTGGGAAAATGATACAAAGCTGCTGAAAAAGTACATCTCATTCGATTTAATTTCATACCGATTGGTTAAAGTTGAAATTAACCGCTTCATATCATTGTTCGTAAAATACTTTATTACGTACCTAAAGGCAGGTTACTAGGCCATAAAATCTATTAAAAAATAAATAAATAAATAAATTTTTTTTTAATTAATTATTTAAATATTAATTAATTAATAATTTAAAATTTTTTTCCATAATTTTTTCTAAATTATTATTGTTCTGCTTGTGTACTGCAGGAAACCCAATCGTAAAAAGGTACAAAATGAAATGTTGTTGAATTGTTGACTGTTGGCCACTTTTTTTAATGCAAGATGGCTGGACGAACTCACGGCCCACTTGGTTATAAGTGGTCACCAGAGTCCAAAGACACCAAAAACGTAAATGTGGCCACCCACGTTGAGACATTAATTCTGAGTTTTAGTTTTTCAGTACAACGGCTGCTCCACCCTTTAAACCGAAACGTGTCACTGCCTCCCGACAGAAATAAGGTAGTAATAAGTAAGGGTTTAAATTCAATTCCTTGAAATAGTAGCAGCGAAGCAGCCGGTTTGAATAATGAGACAGCCATTTTGTGCCAGTGCTTAGTACGTGTTCTTTAACGTTCTCACATTTGACTTCGTTTGCCGCTAGGCGCGTTGTTCCAACTGCTTTCTTCACGGGTCGTAACTCCTTACGAGGGCACTTGGTTTTACGGGGACATGGAGTGTTCCAGCTCCATACAAATTTGAGTCAACTTATACGCTATCAAGAACTTTAAAAAACCTCGCACTAAGTAAACAAGGCAAGTTTGGCAAATAGCACGTTGTGATTTTTATGGGCTCCGGAAACCATATCACAACAAATGGATCGTGAGCTCATCATTGAAGTAAAGGTCTATGGAGCTCATTCACATTTAACTACCGCTACCCACATAGCCCTATGACTAGAATTTGGCTATACCCTCTACCGCACAAATAAATAAATTCCATAGACAAAGCTGGGCTACAATCCTTTGCCTATTCATATGAGAAATAAAAAAGGAAAAGAAGCGCAAAAATTCAAATTACCTACTCAAGATCTTCCATTGTTTTATTGGCATTTCGATATCTTGAAATTTCAGATTTCTGATAAAAACCCTCATAATTTCTAATAAAAATAAAAATGTTAATGTGTCAAGTTCGCCACCTTCAGTTACACGGAAGGTTGCATTTACTATCGAGATTTTTAAGTAGAAGTCCAAATTCAAGTCAAAGTGCGATTCCTCAACAACTATCAAAAGATGATCTGAAACAAGAACATTTACCGATCGGTGCTTTGCCTGTTGAAAACAAAAATACCAACGAAATATTTCCAACAGCAAGAGTTATTCCAATGATGTTGACCAACAAGGAATCTGTCGTGTTACCTTTTGACGATGTACCAGGTCCGAAATCATTGAAGTATTTGTCAACAGTGCGTCAGTATTTATCGGATATCGGCACTCAACTGACTGCTGGTATACTGACATTTGGAGTCAACATAGGTTAGTATCAATTTATTTAGAATTTATCATTCATCATCATCTTAGGCCTTACAGCCCAGGGTGGGCCTCAGCCTGGTCCAGTATGTCTCTCCAGACTGCTCTGTTCAGGGCTTTCTCCTTCCAGTTCCTGACACCGATAACTTTGAGGTCGTGCTCTACGCCATCTTACCATCTGAGTTTGGGTCTGCCACGACTTCTGCAGCCCTCTGGTTTGCCATAGAGTAGTTGTCTTGGCATTCTGCTCTCCTTCATTCGAACTACATGTCCGGCCCATCGTAGGCGTCCAATTTCTTTTTTTTTTGAATTTATCATTGCATCTAGTTTAAACAACCTACATAGAATGCCTAGGCAAGTCGCTTAATGAACCCAATACCCAGTCTACGGACGGAGGCAGTTATCCCGGTCTCAAGAAGAGGGCGAGCTGACCGAGAGCGTCTTAATTTCCTGCCCGCGCAGTTGCTGCCGACGTAACCTCTGCTGCTTGGAGAGAGCCAACGGCCGTATGCCACCAATGTGGTTGCAACGAGGATACGGCACAGCACTACTACTGTGTACTTGTGGCTTAAAATGCATTTAAAATTTAAATGCGGAGGGGCTGTGGGACAAACTGGAAAGGTTACAAAATTTATGCATACGCTTTATTTTTGGTTTACGCAAATATGATCATGTCTCGCAGTACAGATCACAACTTAATTGGTTACCTATCCGACTTCGCCGTGATGTACATGTTTTATGTATGCTGTTCAACATCCTTAATAACCCAGCTGTTCCCCGGTACCTCCGTGAGCGCTTCGAGTACCAGATGCCCCGAGGTGTACCCTGTCGTACAAGTAGATCCCTTCTCCTTAATTTTCCCCCTCACTCCTCCAGCCGCTACGGCGGTTCGTTCACTGTGCAGTCTGTGCGTCTGTGGAACTCAGTTCCACACTCAATCCGTGCAAGTCCCTCACTTGAGGTATTCAGGAAGGCATTAAAGAAGCACTATCTATCAATTTAGTATTACTTATATATATTTATTTTATGTATTTCATTATATATGTACGTGTATGTATATGTTTACGTTATTTATGTGTGTATGTATATATATGTAGTCTAATATATTATGTAATAGTGTTTTTTTGTTGTTGTTTTTTTTTATTAAGTTCTTGTCTAGATTGTATTCTTCTACCCACTCATTTAAAGCTTTCCTTCGTTAAGAACGGTTAGCTGGTAGAAAACTCAATTGTTGAGTTAAGCTCGCCATTTTTTTATATCTTACGCAATTATTGTAATATTAACTGTGTGTACAATAAAGAATAAAGAAAAAAAAAATAAAGAAATTAAAAAAAAAACTGCATTCAACATGAAATACATTAAAATTCTAGGAACCTTCATAAATAGTAGAAAGCCTTTGAAAAAATTTTCCGCTCTATTCGATGAGTACGGCCCTGTGGTACGCTTTATAAGTCCAGTGGGTAATGACATTGTACTGATCAACCACCCGGATCATATTCAAAAAGTGTACACGATAGAAGGTGATTGCCCTGTCAGATCAACATTGGATTCCCTGGAAAAATACCGTATTGAACACAGAAATCATATCTATGGAGGACTTTACACACTGTAATTTATTTTCTTTATTATTCTTACTATCTCTTTCTCTCTCATAAATAAAAGACAATCTAAGTATGAGAAAGCTAAAAAGGTACTGTAATTGTGTAGATTGGGTAGATTATGGCGATGTGCATAGATCAGATAATGTGGTCGTCGTTAATGTTACATACTACGTATGAAGCAGAGATCACTAGCTTTATCTAGATAGAAGTGGTCCTAGGATCACTATCCACTGGTGTAGTGCATTATTGTGAAACTTCTGTTCAAGTATGTTGAGCTCCAGGATAAGCGGTATTTTCAGAGCGCTACATGTCTTCCATCAAAGAGGGTTAAGGAGAGTATTTTAGGAAGAGAGTAATTAAAAGGCGGAGATCTCCTTAGCGCTGCCGATTTACAGGGGCAGCCGTTACCACTTTCCATTAGGTGGACCGCTGGGTCATTTGCTTATTAAATCAATAAAAAATAAATGTATCCTTGATTTGATTTTAATGGTTTTGAGGAGTGACTCTGTTCTCGTGGCGAGTGGTGCGATGGTTAAAAAAGGATTTTGAAATTTTTAAATATTTTTTTGGATACATGAATGAACGAGCTCACAGCCCACCTGGTGTTAAGCGGTTACCGGATCCCATAGACATTACAACGTAAATGCCGCCACCTACCTTGAGATATAAGTTCTAAGGTCTCAGTATAGTCACAACGGCTGCCCCACCCTTCAAACTGAAACGTGCGGACTTAAAAAAGTCCTACCACCAGTAATTATACTTATTAGTTTATTTTTCAACATCATATAATATTTTTTTATTAATTACTGTTGTAACCCGGTCGTGCTCTTTTGTAACCATAGCGAATTGTGTAAAAAACATCGATTCCTGGTTATAACCAATCGTATGGCTCCTATCGTTCGTTGGTGCTACTATGATAGAAGTCTTCCCTGGAGTGCCAGTAACTGCGCCAAGCTTAATCACAATCGTATGAATGGTTTAAGAGCGCTTACAGAACAATTACAGATACTTTCTATTCTATGAACCTACATTGATTTTTATTTACATAAATAGGTTGGCTTTATTAGCCTATATATTTAGTAACTGCGTTTTTATTTGACTAAACTTGGCGTCAAGTATTTTATCTAAAAATTATAGCTGTTAAATTTTATGTTTCATGGAGTAACGGAGAGGAATGGAGTCGTCAACGATCTATTATATACACTCCATTGCACAATGCGGTCACTTATCATATTCAAGGAATCGATGACATTTGTGAATACTTTTCTCAAAAAATTTATAACATGAGGAATTACCAAGACGAGATCCCAAAAGATTTGTATAAAGATCTACATAAATGGGCTTTTGATTGCTTGGGTAAGTGTGCTGCCCAAGTTTGGATACCAAGAAATAATTTATTTAGCAATGCCACCAAGTCCTCTAATTAGTTTGTGGGTTTTATTTGATACGCTAACAAATTTTAACTTACAAACAGAAAAAAGTAAAATTCGAGTGTTTTGGAATCGTTAATAGAGTATTCAATATAAACCTTTTAATTATTTAAGAGCTATAATTTACCAATGCTAGACTTCACACAATAGCCCTCTTATCGTGACCACCGCTAATTAGATATCCGCCCAAGCGACGAGGTAACGCAAAGCCGCCGTCTTCCGAAGCATGTCTTATCGTATCCGCCATAATCCACTCTCGGTTTAAGCTCTTCAAGCATCGGTCGACGAGCGAATTAGCCTCTAGATAGCCCTCTGAGTTTCTCGCCGGATCTTTTCAGTAGGTCGCGATTCCGATCCGATGGTAGATTCAGCGGAGCTTTTTTTTTTGCTGCCTAAACTGATAGTCTAAAGAGACCATATCAGCGTCACCGAGCTAGTAGGTGAGCTCACGGGGCTCAAATCTGACCACGTTGCTAACACGATCCCTAGCAAGAGCTGTGCTTCGCAGAATCTACCACCGGATCGGAAACGCGACCTACTGAGAAGATCAGGTGAGAAACTCAGTGTGCTATGTCTGTGGGTTAATTTATTCGCTGAGCCCTTCGTCGCAAGCGACGGGTTCGACGAGAGCGATGACCGACTGCGGAGCACTGCTCTTACTAGGCTAGCAAATTCTCTCAGGTTGATTCCGAGAGGTCAAATACCCCTCATGCACCTGGAATAGCCTCTTAGCCTACCAGCGAATGGATAGGGGGGGAAAAGCTAGACTGTAAATAATTTTATAGATAGCCAATATGCATTTTGTTAGTATTGCCAGATATCTTGTTTCACAACAAAGGTTTTCCGTTTTCAGGTCTGATACTGTTTTCGAAGAAGTTCTCAATGTTAGACACTGATCTCGTATACAGTCAATGCGACATGTCTTGGATGTATCATAGCTTGGAGAAGGCTACCGAAGCAGTCATCAAATGCGAGTCCGGTTTACAGTGGTGGAAGATATTATCTACTCCAGCTTGGTATTCTTTGGTCAAATACTGTGATAGTTTGGATAGGTAAGCATATTTTTATTACATTTCGTATCCACAAAACGAATTACTCTTAATATTGTTGAATGTGTTCTTGTGTTGAATTGCCCCAAATTGTAACATTTTTGATACAACGGTAAAAAATTGCTAAAATTTTTCTATACATGCTTGCTTAAAAATATCGTTCTAAACCGTAAAGCCTACCATTGTTGCTTATATTTGTTAGTAACGATAATGTATTTGTGGTGTCCAATTAAAAAAAACGTGTTTTCTTCAAAATACACTTTTCTTTTCAGTTTGATTGGCAAATACGTCCTGGAGGCAGAACAGGCCATTTCATACAAAGCTAAAGAAATCGAAGAGCAATACCGTAAGTTTTTTTTTTGCTTTTGTTAGAGTCTAGAATAGTCTAGATGAATAACCTCCTTCCCCCCATGTTTAGTATTATCCGAGCCTAGAGGTATCATAAAGTGAATACCGACACTGATAATTAGATATGAAGTAGAAGTCATTATAACGGCTGTCTCATGCTTTAAACCAGGGGTTCCCAAACTTATATTGTCTACTGCCCACTTTGAGAATAAATTCTTTTTTAGCGCCCCCATGTTTTCACCTTCTTAAAAACCACTATAGCGAGAGCTCAGTCAGTGTCTAAGAGTCCTCCTAGATGAAATTACAAATCGCCTCTCAAGCCTCTACACAACGCCCCCATTTGTTTTCTGGGACTTTTACCGTCTTCCATTAGGCACGCAGCGCCCACAAAGGGGCGTTATCGCCCTCTTTGGGAAAGGCTGCAGTTTAAACCGATATGCACGACTGCTTCACAGCAGCAATAAGTAAGGTAATGGTTGAATCACACAGTGCTATTCCAAATATTTTTGCCACATTCCATTAAACTGTAAATAACGTCCCTACGATGATTCCTTCCTCGGCTGTGACGTGTTTTCTAAAAAGATTTAAAACGTATATCGGATAGACTCTTGTCCTCATTGCTTAGGAGCTTGACCAACCATTAACATAGACATAGCCGTATAGGATGTGCGACGGCAATCACAATTAGCTGAGCGGAATCTTCGTACGATTGGAAAAAATAATTTGGTCTATGTAGCAACTGTTAATACCCGTTTCTTGTACAGCCAACAGCAATATTTTGATCAACGCAATGCTGCTCGGTCAAGAAAAGATGAATCCTGAAGATATAGCAACCGTCATTATGGACATGTTGCTGATTGGAGTCAATACGGTAATTGCTTAGCGCCTAGCTGTACATGATACTACACATGACACGTCCCTTCATTTTCTTCGCGATAAGCAATGATGTTATAGTAAAAAGAGGTAGATACGTTATATTAGTACTAATACGAAGTCAAGCTTGTCCGCGGCGTATGTACCTATATATATTTATAAACACACTAAACTATACGATATTATGCGGACGAATTAAATCGACAATAGTTGATGATAATATCATATAGCCGCGTGAGCAGAATTAACTTGACAAGGTTGTAATGTGTGAAAAAGATAGCATGCTAACTAGCAAGACCGTAAACAAGACGGATATATATTACGCAGTGTCGTTGCGATGTCACGACTTACTTCATAGATTAACAATTAAAATGACACAGAACGAACATAAAATTGTTTGATGCCTACGGTTTAGTAAGCAGAATTGATATATTTAAAATGAACTCCTGACTATTCTTTTAAGAAATAAAACAGCAAAGGACAAATAATTTTATTTTTTTATTTTCATTTAGTTCATTATTATTTGGCCGCCAATCCTCTTCATGTCTTTGTCTACGTACAATATTTATCCATTGGTTACACCTTAATTCATTTGCCGGAAACCTTTAAAAATAAAATCAAATTTGTTAATTCATTTCTCGGTTGTTGTGAGCTAATGTGTAGGCAATATCATGGAAATGTCCTGTCTGTTACATTACTCTTTTTAATCTTGACAGACATCTCTCTTACACTCTGTGACCGGAGTATATGCCGTCGCACTCGAGCCTTTTTTAATAAATTTAAGTTAATATTTTGGATTTCTTAAACAATATAAAAGCAAATCAATTTAAAATTAATACTTACGCATGACATGTCATCCCTAGACTTTTGGGAGTCTTACTTGTATAGTTTCTACAGTGTCGCATAACACAGGACGGCATTTTAGAGAAATTTCGCGGAACAAAAAACGCAGTCAACGTTACCAATGCTTTCACGAGACTAAGCTTGAGTGCGCTAATTAGCTCAGTTTTACGGCGCCACTTTACGAACTCAAGTAACTTATCTACCTCTTTTTACTATAACATCATTGGCGATAAGTATAAAATTTAAACTAGCTGACCCGGCAGACTGTAGTGCCTCAATCGATAAATCAAAGACCTAAACCTTTGAATAAACTTAAAACAAACAAAAGGAATCCGAATCCGTCCGACGGGGGACACGTGAAAGGAAAAACAAAATTGTTGTTTTCATTTAATTCCGAGCATTCTCATATTTATTTACCTTTTAAGCCTTTTCTAGACTTCCACAAATAATTCAAGACCAAAATTAGCAAAATCGGTCCAGCCGTTCTAGAGTTTTAGCGAGACTAACGAACAGCGATTCATTTATATATATATATAGATTACATTTTCCCAGGATAAAGAATTGCTTCTTTCACTTTTTGTTCCATGAAGCACCAAAATCACGAACAAGAAAATATAATGCCATAATTTTTGTGACGTGACTTTTTAAAGTAAGACAATAAATCTTTTCCAATTCTTGGTGACACTTTCCAATAACATTTCAGATTACTTCTTCAACATCATTTCTTTTATACTATTTAGCGAAATACCAAAAAGCTCAGAAAATACTTTATAAAGAGATCCAAGAAACTTTTCCTGAGCAGAAAATTATGGATTTAACAAAAATAAGAGAGCAAACACCATACCTTCAGGCGTGTATCAAAGAAACATTAAGGTAAAAATAATATTATTATGTTAATGATACAAAAAGCGTAAGCAGCAGAATAAAGTATGTTTAATAATTACACCCTGCCGAGCAGCCATGCATTTCACTTTTCAAGCGATTGAGGCCTGATCGATGACCTTTTATTTCATTTTTTCATTTCCTTTTATTTCAAGATAGGTATTGACGTTGTGGTGAATGTGGGCTGCGGCAACCACTTAACACCAGGTGGACTGTGAGCGAATTCACCAGTATATGTGATAAAAATAGTAATAATTATAGTGTACATATTATGGTTTGTTTCAGATTAACACCTCCAATTCCAGTGCTTACAAGAATATTGCCGAAAAATATAACTCTGGATAAATATAAGTTAGTGCATGAAGTGACCTCATATTATTAATCTATTTGAAGTTTCCTTGATCTCACCATTGCCTTTACAGTATTCCACGTGGAACTCTAATTATCATGTCTACCCAAGATGCATCATTAAAAGAAAGTAATTATGATGATGCAAACACATTCTGTCCAGAACGATGGCTGAAGTCAGACTCTAATGAATATCACTTGTTTGCTTCAATTCCTTTTGGATATGGTGCTAGAAAATGTCTAGGCCAAAACATAGCTGAAACTATGATGTCTCTCTTGACTGTCAAGGTAATGTATATTTAAATTGACATTTTTTTTATTGCCTTTGTAGGTGCACAACCCACCTGACAGTGAGTGGTTACTGTCGCCCATGGAGTTCAGCAATGCCAGGGGCAAAGCCAAGCCGCTTCCTACCGCTTAATACTCTCCACAAGCCTCGTTTGAAGAAGGACATGTCATAGCGCTTGGGAAACCATGTTCATGTCATGTCATAATAATATGATGTCTAGTAAAAAAACTAGTACAAAAAGACAATAAATTTACATCTATGACAGAAATAAGGTCAAGCATGTATAAATTATCCAATAACAGATATTATCTTTCAGCTTTTACAAAAATATAAACTGGAATATCACTATGGTGATTTGGAACCAACACGAAGCTTTATTGCAAGACCTAAGAGAGCATTGAAATTAAGGTTTATTGATAGAATTTAATATTTCTGTAGTTTTAACTTATTGTCTTGAAGGAAAATAGAAGAGTTGGGTTGTTAAAATAAAATATTGAGTTTAAATAAGTTATTTTTAATTTAATCTTCTAAACAAATATTTGCATATTATCTAAGTTAATTTATCCAATTAAAATATTATGCATATTTTCTAAAGTCTAAAAAATATAGAATTTACAATGAATCATTAATACAATAATTTAACTCAAAAGCATAATATATATATACGTTTTGAGCTGTCTGAGTTGTTCAAAAAGTTTCTCCAATAAGATAACAACAAAACAAGGTTTTCTTATTTTAATCATATAAAGACTAATATTGCACCAGACACAATTTATGGTCATGTCTATAGTAGCAGCATCTGTGCAGTACTAGCATGCAAATCCTATAGGTTGTAGTATTTTATTTTCAAAGTAATTATTTAGTACCACAAATTCAATACATTCATTATATTAATTCACAATTCTAATATATTCAAATATATCATTTACACTAATAAATATCCATCAAATTTTTACATCTGAACCAAAGTAGTTGTGCATTCCAAAGATAGAAAATACAAAATACAATTTAAACTAATCTCATGTCTCAAAAAGGGAACCTTCATTGTATATCACAATTTAGCTGCTGTCATTAAAGTTGCTTTGTAGTAATGCAAAGTTTAAATGAAACTGAAATTTCCACAAATCTGATTGATCTGAGAAGTGGTCACAGGTAAATAATATTGCTTATTACCACAATGCTAAGGGTTGATTGATAAGAGTTACTCTCATGACCACTACAATTATTTGAAGTTAGAAATTTTAGACTGAAAGGTAAGATTATACATAGCTTTAGTAATATCTGCAAATTTCAAAAACAAAAAAAAAACATTTTAATGCTAGGACTACACTTACTCTTCTTGAAATTAAGTATCTACCGTTGCCTTTTTGATGCAAATATATTCAAGTATTTTCCACGGGTCATCTCTTTAGCTTCTTCCAGGCCCAGTTGATAAGCTAAGTCATGAAGTTTTTTTACTTCCATGATGAGACCACTCGCTGTAAGTGTTCCAAGTTCTACAAAAAAAAAAAAAAACTATTGTTAAATAACAAGTATTGAATTTTTTAATGTTTCATCACATATTAATTAGTTTCATTTTTATCCATAAACATGTTGCTTTTAATTACTTTGTAAGACACTATTGCTTCCAGTGAAAGCAGTCACTCCTCTGTAATAAGAAAGTTGTGGTATCGAATGCAGCACTTTTTATCATTTAATCATTAAATATATTTTGGAGTAAAACTTTTTTGACGGTCTTGGAGTATTAAGATCCTTTTATTACTGGTCCTGATCTTTATAACATACAGATTTATAAAATTTAACAATTTATTCTTAATGAATAGGTTACTGTTTCATCTAATACTGGGGATTGTACCAGAAGTTAATTTTTTCTTTTTTGACTTTCACATTAAGTGAAAATATTTTTTATAAAACAATAAACTATTGATTATTTTACTTGACAGTAGCAATGTGCAGTGCAATGTAAGTGCAATTAAGGTTCTAATGTTTGATTATCATAAAATAAAACTAAAATTAATTGTGATACTATTTACGATAATAAGTTGCTCCAATTATTTTTTGGAATGTATTCAATTCAATCCTTTGAGAGCAAAAATTTATGGTTTAATTTCCTCTCCCTTGTCTCTCAAATGCTCTACTTGTGAAATGTTCGAAATACTATTAAACTCCTAAGTGTTAACTGTTGGATAAAAAACATTTGGGTCACATATTGTCAATATAATCCCTTGTTTCCGTGATAATTTAATACTTTGTCTTGTTTAAATGACAGTTTTATTTATTTGTAATGAATAAGAGATCAAATTGTAGTTTTAATTATTGCTAGGTTTAATGGTGATTGAAAATATATTTTACTTATATGAAAATTATAATGAATATATTTATTAAAAATATACATTAATCTTTGGTTCACCTGGAAGTAAAAAATAATATTTATTCCATTAATTTAGTAATTGTAAATAGCTCCTTTCCCATGCTGTAGCTCATTAAGATACCAAAGGCGGTGAATGGCAACAATAATTGTGCGCCGCGGACCATTTCATGTTACAAGATTAAAGCAATAGTTATTAAACTTTTACTTCATTTAATAACTAACCACTATTGGAATATATTTAAAGAAACGTACTTACGTTGCATGTAAGTGTAGTCCTGTTTTGTGAGACCTTCATTCCAGGAAGGCTCCTGCGTGCCTGGCATCGGTGCAAACTCCGATACTCCCGGAACTGTCAAAGAATCGTTGGAACACTGAGATTCTTCTTCAGAAGTGAGATTAACGTTATTCTTCTCCATTGTATAAGTTTAATGTTCAAAAGAGTTCGTTTCTAACCGAAACATGTTACGTTCGCAACATAAAGAAAGGAGTGACAACATCACGATCCAAAACATTATCGCGCCATAATTTGAAAAACGAAACACATTTGTTTACAAGTCAAGTGAATACTGTGAGTGTGAAAGCTAATTGAAAAACTTACTTTGTTCAGGCCATAGTTCTGGTGAAGCTCTATCAAGCTTCTCCGAACTGAAAAGACTTTCCTCTAAGGATGTCAACGGAATATCATCGGATGATGCTTGGTCTGAAAAAAAACCACAAATAAAGTAACACCCTCGACCTGATACTAATTTGCACTAATATATTGATTAGGACTTATGTATCAAAATTAAAAGACGAACTGGTTAAAGTTTTTGGGGAAAATAGGCTCAAAATAAATTAAAAATACCATCAACGATTGAATTTTGTTTCGCGGCCATGTTCACCATAGATTAGGTTCTCAAAACCACAGAGCACTCTGAACCAATAAAAATCTCTAATTAGTTCGAGTTCCAGCTACTTAATCTTACAACACCGTACAAATACAGCTTTGTCTTTGTTAAGCGTCCACTTTGTATACTTATATTTCGTAGTTTTACTAATCCAAATACCATTTCTGTAATTCTGAGAATTATGGCGATTTGACCGCTCATGGTCAACCTTGTTTAACGATTATCCATAGGCAGAATTCATTACTAGAATCAACACTATTGCTATACCTGAAGATGGTTGCTTATTTACACCTGCAAAATAAAACACGATAAATGATGGTCCAAACGTATAGAGAGACTTACAAATCACCCTTCGATAGTAGTGCCATTACTTGTATTACATTATTTTTAGAAAAGGAAATTAGCATTTGTTTCTGCCTACGTTAGCGTAGTTTAGCTTTGGGTACTTGCTAGATGCCCTTTAAATCACCAATCGACTTTTTCGTTGGAACGCGAGGAGCAAAGTGGTGTAAATTTTCTTGTTTGGTTATTGTTTCTGGAAATGATGTTGATATCTCTGAAATAGTTATGAATTGGGACGAAATCAAACTAAATGAATCGAGATGAGATTTTTTATTTATTGCTTAGATGGGTGGACGAGCTCACAGCCCACCTGGTGTTAAGCGGTTACTGGAGTTACTAGACATCTACAACGTAAATGCGCCACCCACCTTGAGATATAAGTTCTAAGGTCTCACGTATAGTTATAACGGCTGCCCCACCCTTCAAACCGAAACGCATTACTGCTTCACGGCAGAGATAGGCAGGGTGGTGGTACCCACCCGCGCGGATTCACAAGATGTCCTACCACCAGTAATTACGCAAATTATAATTTTGCGGGTCTCATTTTTATTACAGGATGTTATTCCTTCATCGTGGAAATCAATCGTGAACATTTGTTGAGTACGTATTTCATTAGAAAAATTGGTACCCGCCTGAGATTCGAACACCGGTGCATCGCTCAACACGAATGCACCGGACGTCTTATCCATTAGGCCACGACGACTTAAAATGTCGAATTCGATGAGATCAAATTATGTCACAGTTACTTAAATGATGGAAATTATTTACACTTTGGGAGTTTAGTAGACTTCTTGGAAAGATCCGAGCAGCAACGTACTTATATATCCATACTTTCATAGGTATCAAACAGTTAATAAGCAATCATTCTTATGCGAAACATCTGAAGGGACAGTAATTTAAGATGTAAAACAAATCAGAAAACTTTCGGCCTTGCGTTGCTGCTAAAATATCTATACTTTGTCAATTCCTATAAGTACAAGCAATATATCTGCCTTCATGAATTAAACTCTAGCATAGTTTATTGTAATTATTTATTGTAATTTTAATTTTATTGTATTTTGATTTAAATATTATGTAATTGTATGTGAAATTTTATGGGCTTAAGTTACCTGAAATAAACGCATTTCATTTCATTTCATAGCTCAATTATTTGTACGAGTACCCTGGACTCGGTTCGTACTAGGCCAAGAACATTTTAAAACTGTTCAGTGTGTGGTGTATGTAGCTGTAGATGTATAATACAAAAAGCTGTTTCTGTTTTTCTGTGACAGAAAACAAGTTTGAAATTTTACGCGTCCTTGACAGCTCCATTATTCATTCGAAAGTTTTTAACACATGCTGACTCAAATATATTAAGTTTATAATCTATGACATCCTGGTTCGTCGGAAGCCTGGGTACGTTTCTATGGAGGATAGAGGTAAGGAACACCACCTTGTATAGGGGACAAGTTGAAAAAGTGTCCATCTGTAAACAGCAAATCATAGTTCGAAAACTCATCGAATTAGCGCTAGTGTAGCAAGAGGAAATAGTATGAATATAGAAGTTTTAAACTGAGTGAAGTGTGTTGGATTGCAGTGAAGGCTATTGAAATAAGAGAAAACCTTTACTGAATATAAGGTTTTAATAAGCTGAAATTAACAGTAAAATTTGCTTTGATTACATTAGATACACTGACAAATAACGAATAAAACAGATTGACAATGACGTCAACTAATGGCTGATAATTTCAACTAAGAAGCTTACATCAGCTATGTTCCGATTTACACTGCGAGCACTGTTCAGTGCTCTCACTGCTATTCGTTACCTACGTTAAGGACTGACAGTATACAGTCGCAGTAACTTAAGAAATGATTGATGATACATGATAATGAATGGAATGGAGGAATGATACATGATTTCATAAATCTTCACTTCAGCACTTTTACCCTGCATAACCTCATTTCAATAATACGGTTATTAAGTCATTATAGATTAAATTGCTTGAAAAACAATATTTTCTTTTACTAAATAATATACTTACTTTTGGCGATTAATTCAACTGACAATAACTTGAATATTTTATTTTCAAATATAACTAATTTTAAACAAGATTTTTTTGCTGAAGCGAAAACACCGCCATGACAACGTCGATGACAGTATACTGTACTGTAAAGGAACGGCTTCGCAGTATACTAATTTGACGTCACACCTTACAGTGCTCGCAGTGCAAATCGGAATATACCAAAAGTTTGGTAACTTAGGGCGCTGTTTTTAAATTCTTTCCACTTGCTACTATGGGGCCATCTTAATTTGCTGCCCTTCAGTGGACACTCTTTCATATACTGAGATGGTTCTGCTTACCTATACCCTCCATAGTACGTTTCGGACTTGTGGCAGCGGCCATACAATAATGCTTGAATTAACTTAATACATACATTTTATAGTATGTGTGTGTCGGTCACCCTCCTAGCGATCATGTTTGATTAAAACTGAAGTTAAAAATAAAAAATAATTGTCCAACCATTAAAGATAATTCGTTTATTAGTTTTTATATTCTATTGATACTTGATTCCTATTATACTATGATTGGAAATGAATTAAGCAAGGTAATTAATTAATTCCTGATCTCAAGATCGAGAAATTATTCGATTGGGAAATTCTGTTATTACTTCTGATTTATTTTAACCCAATTTTCCATACATTAAAACAAAAGCGTAAAAATAGTCATTTTAGTATAATCCGTTTTAGTTGTAGTGAAGAAGCAATCGAGGTACCCGGGTGGCTATAGACACAAATTCTATATAGGTCCTAGATATTTATGTCATTTTCACTGTTGCAGTGGCAATGAAAAGCTCGTAATCAGTGTTTCCACAATGAGGGGAAATACCCCATTTGAGGGGAAATTAGGATCCATAGTGGGAGAAAAAGGGGAAGACATTAAAAAGGGAAATTGTGGGAAAACATGAGTAAAACCTTTCCACACTAGGGCCAAAAGTAAAAACTACAGCAGAAAAATTTTTGACGGGAAAAATCTCTGAGAAAGGGAAATTTGAATTGAGGAGTGGGGAAAGGAAATCATTAAAGTGGAAACACTGTTCGTAATTCTAGCAACACTTGACGTTCTTTCTTCCGGTTGCCAACACAAGGCAAGGTGTGTAATTTTGCTTGTCCACATGGTTATTCATTAAATATACGGAATATACCGCTACAATAAAACTTTCTTAACAGTAAAATAACAATTTACTTCTGCAAGGTGAAGTGAAAATGTAATCTAATTTAAAATCTATGTCTTGATCAATATTTTCCCGTTCGTCCTAAGCAACCTAGAGAGAACCTGAGTTTCGTGAAAAAACTATAAACTTAAATTGATTGATTGGATAAATATTTAAAAAAATTAAGACATTTTTTTACGAAATCATATCTCTGTATAAGTGAAACAGCCAGTGAAGTTCTTATAAAAAATCAAAGCTAACCTCACTTTTTGGACATGTTAGTCGGATCAATGCAAGATTCCAACACTATTTTTTTTACAATATGATTATTAATTTTGTGAAATTGATGTCTTCCGTAATCTTATTTAGCATGTAACTTAAAATTAGAACAAACCAGGAGTAATACTTGGAGTATCCATAAAAGAGTATCCACTTGCTATTTTCAGATGCGTTCCGTCACAGTAAAGGATGTTGAACAAGACAAGATTGTTAAAACTGTCGCTGCTCACTTAAAAAAGTAAGTGCCTTCTAAATTTTTTAATATAAAATTTAATATGCGCATAATGGCAGATGAAACATTTAACTATTTTTCCTAATCACGTATTTATTGGGTGCCAACATGTTAAAGATTAGTATAACAAACAACACACACTTTTAAACATAGGTCAAATCATAGTACAATAGGCAACTGGAGGCAATAATGATAAAATCTTTAAAAAGTAAACAACCATCAGATCATTATTTACATTAAGTAATGAAGGATTGGTCATTGATCTAATAAAATTATCATTTCTAAACAAGACCTCAGTATAATATTAATGTTTTAAATTTGATAATGATAAAGCCTGACATAAGTAAACACCAATCACAATTCATTTGTTCTAAATTGTTGTTTAACAGTTTTAATCTTATGGTCGCTTGTCATTTTTTGTAATAAATAATGATTTTGGTGATTATAATTAGGTTCAAGTAAGATCTGTACAACAATAAAAATTGTGAAAAATAAAAACTTTGCTGACTTATACATAGTTATCATATGCAGTCCTGAAACAAGTACATTTATTTAATATTATAGGTACAAGTTAGTATGTTTTATCAGTATTCTATTCCTTGATACTCAATACTTTTAAGAAGTGATAATAAAAGAGTTCTCTGGCTGAAATGTAATTGACCAACTCAATGTTGGAAAGCAATTCACAAATTTATCACATCCTTAAATATCAGATTGTTTGTTTAGGTTTAAAAGGTAAACAGTCAGTTATTTTCAACATAAACAACCATTGATTTTTAATTTAAATAGAAAATATACAGCTATTGTGTACATTCTGAGGTATGATAAAGGGCCTAAGTGATTAGGTGTCTTTTTTGAAAATTGAAATTCTAATTTCTTTAGACATTTGCATGAGGAAACACTTGCCCTTGCTTTGAAGTATTTTTATGTGCTTGTCTATATTTGTGTATTAAGTGTTCACAATAACAATTTTCTTAATTAATGTTCTCTAAATTATAATACTTAGAATAATAAATAATCTTATCTTTCCAATTCAGAACGGGCAAAGTCAAGGTACCTGAGCACATGGATCTTGTAAAGACAGCTCGCTTCAAAGAGCTGGCTCCGTATGACCCTGATTGGTTCTATGTGCGTTGTGCTGCCATCCTTCGTCATATTTACATTCGCTCACCTGTTGGAGTCAAGACTGTCACCAAGATCTTCGGTGGGCGCAAACGTAATGGAGTTACACCTTCACATTTCTGCAGGTATGATTTAGCATCTTGAGCACAGAAAATGAAGTAGATTATGATAATTTACAGTGTATTTGTGGAAGCATACATGAAAACAAAGATGTGGTAGAATTTATTATTTTGAAGATGATACCACTACACACATTTGTATATTTTTTAACTAATATTTTTTTTGTACTAAAAGCTCTAATGCCATTTCCAAAATACACACCTGAGGAACCTAGTCACTCTAAGAGTGCAGTTTTGGCTCTTACTAGCTTTATACAGAATAAGTGGACAATGTAAATGAATATGTGGCTTTTACAACTCTCCAAATACTTTCAGTACAATACAAATATTAAATTTTAGCAAAAACAAAAATGAATGTGTAAACAAAAAGTGATTGTGTGAATTTACATTGTGAATTTAAATTTAATGTAATATTTAAAATGATCTATTAATTATACAGGTATTTATTGTTTATAATAATTTAAAATAAATACAAAAAAATTGTTCTGTTCAAGTTATTACAAAACTGAGCGAATTCACATTATGCATTCCATTTCTTTCAATGTAACAATATCTGTAATTATTTTGAAGCAGTGAAATGGGAACGAACATAATTTTACAAAATGTGTACATGAGGCCTATAAAATCAAAGGCAGCTAAACACCATAGTGTAGTAAAATGGATTAACTATGGCGCCATCTTGTTTAGTTGGACACGCTTTAGTATTTTCATGTTATAACAAATGCAGCTAAGTCTCTAGCAAATTCAGTTCAAAAATTAAATTTTTACTCTGTACTCAAATATAAAAGAAGTTTTATCATTTAAAATTCAGATTATTAGTAATATTCTCCATTCTTTATAAATCTGCTTTAAAATAAAGAATATCATACTTACCCGAACAAAGTTATTTCAGTTTCTCAAACCGGGAGTGTTGCTAACATTGGCCCTAGCAAGAGCAGTACTTCAATGGATCAGGAGGATCCATAATGAAGTGTTTAGGGCCGATTTTTGTAGTTTACCTCAATATTTGACAGAACTGAATTTAGCTGCCTTTGATTTTATAGGCCTCACATGATCTATTTGAAAATTGATTTTTTTGCGTTTTTTACTGGGTGGGTAGATCATTTGAGCTCAAATTTAGTAGCCTAGTTTTTTAAGTGGTATGATCTTAATTTGTAAGATTGTAATTAATTGTAATCCATTGTAAATAATAGCTTGGTACAAAGAGTGCTCTCTCTCACAACTAGTTCTATAAGACCGTGCACCTTTTAACCCGGAATGCCTGACAGTTTTTTGGTAGAAATGAGCAGGAATGGAATTATATAAATTAGCCACTTTTATTACATTTACATGCTGTTTTTGTGAAGTGATATATTCCTATGCTATGTTCCTATTTCATCAGGAAGATTGGCACTGAAATGCCAAACCAGACATAGTGTCAGCCCTTGATATGATTACACTTTGTGCATTCTCCTTTTAATTCCCCTTAGTAACAGTGCCTTACTATCATTTTTGCTCTCGGAAGAGTTATCCGTACAATAAAGCTTAATCTCATGTCCTTAAAAACAATGACATATTTAAAAAAAATATTAATAGTACAACAAATTTACATTGCTTATATTTTTACACAAATTACAATTATTATTTTTCTTAGCTTTACCAGATATTCATTAATTATTAAAAACTAATTCTCTGAAATACAAAATACACACAAATTTGTCTTTTCGTTGTTATTTATTATTTTAAAATTTATTTTCTTTTAAAACGTAGAAATATAATCAAACTTTGATATGGCATATCAAGGTCCCAGCACAAGTATAATTTTTGACTTAAAAAAACCTCAAAAACATAACAAGATTATTACTAAAATATTTTGCACTTTATTTATTTATTTTAACTTTTCAGATATCATGCCTGGTTTCTGATGTAATGATACAGTTGTTTATTCGTTCCATACATTCGAAATTGTAATTAAAAAATTAGTAAATTTAGCAAAAATCGGAATATAGTAATGATAAATTAACTCCTAAAATATTATGTCCTAACCAATTTAATGATAATCAGTTCAACTACTTTATTTGCGCTTCACGCTAAATTGTTGTACATAATGTGCCTTTTTTTCCTTTTCTTTCAAGACCTAAATGAATGTTTTATGTCACTTTTTTTAATAAATAAATTCTTTGTTAGGTCATCAGGCAGTATTGCACGCAAGGCTTTGCAATCGTTGGAGGCATTGAAGCTTGTTGAGAAAGTTCAGGACGGTGGTCGCATTCTCACCACACAAGGTAGACGAGACCTTGACAGAATCGCTGCCCAGGTTCGTCTAAAGGCCAAGCAGCAGGCTAAGCAACAAGTCATTGTACTTTAATTTTATGCTAATAAAAATATAAAATTTAAAAATTGACTTTTATTTGTGAAGTAGTACTAGTGTAATTTAACACGTCATCTCGGATCCTCCCGATCCACTAACGGTGCTTTTAGGTACTTCAAGCACCGGTCACCGTTGTCGTCGAACCCGTCGCTTGCGACGAAGGGCTCGACGAGTAAATTAACTCCCAGACACAGCCCACTGAGTTTCTCGCCGGATCTTCTCAGTGGGTCGCGTTTCCGATCCGGTGGTAGATTCTGCGAAGCACGGCTCTTGCTAGGGTTCGTGTTAGCAACGTCATCAGGTTTGAGCCCCGTGAGCTCACCTACTAGTTAGGGTTACGCTGGAATAGCCTCTCAAGGCTACCAGCTTAGGAAAAAAAGAAAAAGTAATTTATTGTAGAGATGAAACGGATAGGGGTTTGGCCGGCTACCGGATACCGAATACTCGGTAAGCTGCGAGGCCGGAGCGCCGGATTTAGGCAACCGGATGTTCGGCCCTTTCGGAAATATTCATGCGCGTTCAGGTATTGTCGCACATGAGCGGAGATCGCGACGATTTGGTATTCATTGACCACAATTTGCCATTTCATAATTCTGAGTATTAAGTACTCAGTATTATTTGCCTTTTGTATAACCATGAGATTTTCTTAAATTTTACTATCCGAAATCCGGCCGGATACTGATTTACTATTCGGTATCCGACCGGATAGGCCGAATACCGGATAGTTAGCGGATATCCGTTTCATCTGTAAGTTATTGTTCGAAAATTAAGTATCGAAATCACAAGTCATTGATAAAGACATTTCAGCTTTATATGCGTAAAAGTTGTCTGGCGTTAAGGATAACACTCGGGTATTCGAGCCTTGCGGCAAGTCTACCAATTTTTATAGTTAAATACGTATGTAACAAGTATAATAATGTGGTTTCCATGGTGATTGAATACCATTGTGGAATAAAGCCAGCAAAATTTATAAATTTGATGTCTGTCTCTAGGGCGTATGATAGGCCTAGTGAGAACTGTAAGCATTACAAAATCACAAAAACTATTTTATTTAAAGTTGATAAGAAAATGCAATCGATGTCTCCACGTTTTACCACAACAATAATTTTAGGTTATATTGACGAAATTAGTTTGGACTACGTAAGCATGTGAGGTCTTGTATATTACACTGTCACTAGTTACTCTAGTCATGAAATATATTAAATTTCCTAACTCAGCATACCTACTTCAATCAGTTAATAACTGCTCAATTCATATCATACCCTGTGCCTATGCCTATGCTAGCGCCATTTTGAAGGATATGGCCGTTTTCCAATTACAGCACAAGAGCACATTATGCGGCATAATGCTCAACTAAGCTTCAGCATAATTCGGCATTGTGCGTCACTGAGTCGCATTATGCTCTGTAATTAACCATTACTTACCATTACTTACTTAATGGTAGTTTTCCAATTACAGAGCATAATGCGACTCAGTGAGGCACAATGCCGAATTATGCTGAAGCTTAGTTGAGCATTATGCCGCATAATGCGCTCTTGTGCTGTAATTGGAAAACGGCCTTTTTAACTGTTATTTAGTGCTGAAAGTGGGACACTTTTTTAAGCTTCTCCCATGTGAGACGGTTCTCCTTACCTCTACGCTCCATATTAATAACCTTATCGTATTATTCTGAATGAACGATATAAACGGGTAATAATGAAACGTCGCCAAATTAGAGTAACATAATCGTGTTAATACTCGTTTATGTGGTTCATTTAAAATCTATCTTTTTGTGAGAGTGTGACTATACGCTTATTTATTACTTTATAGATAATTCCTAGCCTATGGTTTATATATTTTGTTTTTCAGATATTGCTAAAATAAGATTATTCAAAGTTAGCAAATTTTATTCTCGAAATTCTAACGCGGTATGTGAAAGAAAACAAAAAAAAGGGAATAGATTAATCACAAATACCATCAAGGGTAACATATTAGCGCGCCAGTCCATTTTACAAAATTCTGCTAATTGTTTATGGCCGTTTTCCAATTACAGCACAAGAGCGCATTATGCGGCATAATGCTCAACTAAGCTTCAGCATAATTCGGCATTGTGCGTCACTGAGTCGCATTATGCTCTGTAATTGAAAAACTACCATTAAGTAAAGGTTAATTATGCTGTAATTGGAAAACGGCCTATATTATAACCCAAATGAAAAAATGATGAAGACTTTTACGGACAAAGTATATAAAAATGAACCCTTAAGTGACAGTGACACAGATATTGATTTACAAATTATATATAATTTATAATAGTGATTATTAAATACATTGATAATTCCAATAAAATTATGGTTTTCTTTTCACTGTAAAAGCACTGTAATGAGTGTTTTTTTCTGTATAGCAATAGTTTTAATTGTAATGAGTTTTATGATTTACTGTATTTTCCCAGTCTGTGCTTAGTGCGAGTTTTTTAACGTTCTCGATAGCGTAAAAGCTAATCCAATTTTGTATGCAGTTGGAACAGCGTTCCTAACGGCAAACGTTGGCAAACGATCGCATTCCATACAAATATGAGCTAACTTTTACGCTATTGAGAACGTTAAAAAACTCACAATACGCACACTGATCTACTGTTTTTTTTTTTTTCCTACCTAAGCTGAGAGCCTTGAGAGGCTATTTCAGCGTAACCCTAACGTTTGTAGGTGAGCTCACGGGGCTCAAACCTGGTGACGTTGCTAACACGAACCCTAGCAAGAGCCGTGCTTCGCAGAATCTACCACCGGATCGGAAACGCAACCCACTGAGAAGATCCGGCGAGAAACTCAGTGGGCTGTGTCTGGGAGTTAATTTACTCGTCGAGCCCTTCGTCGCAAGCGACGGGTTCGACGAGAACGGTGACCGGTGCTTGAAGTACCTAGAAGCACCGTTAGTGGATCGGGAGGATCCGAGATGACGTGTTTTGGGCGACGTCGACTGCTTTCCATTCTGTCCGCANGGGCTGTGTCTGGGAGTTAATTTACTCGTCGAGCCCTTCGTCGCAAGCGACGGGTTCGACGAGAACGGTGACCGGTGCTTGAAGTACCTAGAAGCACCGTTAGTGGATCGGGAGGATCCGAGATGACGTGTTTTGGGCGACGTCGACTGCTTTCCATTCTGTCCGCAGGATCGGGAATGTAGTTACCGGCGGCCACGATGAGAGGGTTTTCGTGTCGTGCCGCTTTATCGAAGTGGCGCATCGACGCCGACTGAAGATACTTACTGATGGACTCTAAGTCCAGGTCGTCATGGAGGTCGACGTTCCTGACGAACCACGGGGCTCCGACGGCTATCCTGCAAAAACGGGATTGAATAATTTGAAAGGATTTTAAGTGGGTGCGGGCCGCGTGAGCAAACACTACACTTGCATAGGTCATGACGGGGCGTATGCAAGTTTTGTAGAGTGTCACCTTATATCTAAGGGACATTTTACTTCGCCTGCATAACATCGGGTGATCTACTGTAATTTTACATGCGGAACACAGTATTTTTTTCAAACCAACCTGGTAGCACTGGTTCCAGTCTAGAGATGGGTCGGATTTATTAGAACAGACCTGAATATTAGGTGTTTTACGAGATTAGGCTGCACCTAATCCCATTTTGTCAATGTGTATAATCCACCTGTTCCACCTAATCTTTGTATTCTTAAAACATAAAATCGAATGTTCAGCATACGCTCCCACCTGTTCCTGCCCTATCTCACTCACTTACACGTTGCAACGTATCTCACAATCCCTAAATGCCTAATCCTAATCATTCAAATAACGATCCAACGATCACATTAATCAAATTCTAATAACAAAATCAGAACTTGAGATTAGAAATAGGCAGATTGAGATTGCTTGCTAAGTAAAGTATTGGTTGTGAATGAGAATAGGAGCATTATGTGGAATAGGTATTTCTTAAGATTAGGAACAGGTGGACCTAGTATCTGATTTCCCTATTATGACCCATCTCTATTTCAGTCTATGAAGTATGAATTCATTCAATTCAGTTTTGTCAAAACTGTACGCTTGTTCAGATGTACACTTGAAATGAATTAACAAAATGTTGTTGGCTTTCAATCGTGTCTTTTTCGTTTTAATTTTATATTTAATATCGTGCGTATCTTATTGTGAACAATATGGTGAATTTGAAAATACTTTGTATGTATCCGAAGATGTTTCGAAGTCTGATAGAAGGATGACTGTGATCAATAGATTTACTGAAAATGAAAGTAGCGGATCTTACCGAAGAAAACGTGAAGCTACCACAGTGCAGCCCGTACAAGGAAACGTTAGTACACAGGTAAGTGATTACTTCCTTTTTACATCTCATTCGTCCCCTTGTTTTTAATATACGCATCTAAATATATTGTTATGTTTTCTATATTTTTATCGTTGTGACGTATTGTTTTCAGTACTCAACCGGTACCTGAAGGTCATTTCCCTTCTTATTGTTGTATTTTGTTGTCATAATAGCTTGCGGGTACTAATTACTGTATTTCATGACTTGCAAATTTACAGCTGAAGATGTAAAACTATATATAGCGACGAAATACTTTTTTGAATTGACGTTTATATAAATTCAATACATACTGTTTAGAATTTGGCTTTTCTACTAATTAAGGTGGTCTGTTCGGTTTTCGCGAGTTCTAGACACACTTAAAACTATTTTTATAGTTACAAAATTGTAAATTATTTGAAAAGTCGAAAATAATATAATGATATTAAAAGCGACATATAAACGTAAAAGTAGTTATGGTTATTAAAGTTATAATTTCCTTTGTGTTCAAAATTTAAAAAATTGCTTTAAATAAGTTTTGCATTGTTAATTTAAGTTCAATGCTCCCCACAGATTACTCATCTGAATGACAGTCATCAACAGCTTATGGTCCACTGGGTTGGAGAAGGCTCTAATGTAATAATTTGCCTTGCCAGAGATTCTATTCCTAGGAACAAAGGAGTGATTTCACCATCAGCACTTTTTATATCATATGATTATGGCAAAACCTTTATGAATAAAACAGAAAGTTTTAAACTTGGTGATACATCCAATAATGGTTATGCTCAGCTTGATAAATTCTTCAATCACCCTAAATATCCAGAATTTGTAAGTATATATATTTTGTAGTATATTTCAATAATTACCTTAAAAACTTTTCATTTAAGTGCAATTCTTTCATTAGTTGGGTTTCATTATTTACATCTGAAGGTATAAAAACAAGATTTTTTTATCTGTAAATCAGGTTGATTAAAATAATGATAGGAACAAATAAAAGACGTGGGTATTAAAAAAAAAGTCTAGCTTGGACTATTATTAACTAGCATAGATAGTCTGAAGTTATAATCCAACTTAGATGAAATTAATAAAAATATGTTTTATTTACATTTACTAGTTATGAGCAATCAAAACTGCTTGAATAATGTAACAAACAACTGACCAACTATGTAAATTTTTGTATTCAAAAGATTGAAATAATCTTGTATTCTGTATTCTTGTATAAATAAAATTTATTTTGGGTTTTCATTCACATGTTGTACCTTTAGAATTATAGAGACTCAACCCAAAAATGTTTTTTTTTTGGAAAACATCGAATACAGTTTTCAAACCAAAAAATGTAGAGGAAAGGGATAGAGTGAAAAAGACCGATGGATAATTTTCTCCCTGCATAAGCAACTTCTGGTCTTTTAATTATTAAGTCACTGAAAAGGGTTGTTTAAGGTCCATTTTTGAAAGAATGTTAAAATTCCCGCCTATTTCTGCTGTGAAGCAGTAATGCGTTTCGGTTTGAAGGGTGGGGCAGCCGTTGTAACTATACTTGAAACCTTAGAACTTATCTCAAGGTAGGTGGCGCATTTAGATTATGGCGCATTTTCGTAGATGTCTATGGGCTCCAGTAACCACTTAACACCAGGTGGGCTGTGAGCTCGTCCACCAATCCAAGTAATAAAAAAAAAACAAATATTTCGAAATGGGCCTCTATAATTCTAAAGGTGCAATGTGATAAATTATATATTTAACAGTTTACATGGTCATGGATACACATAAGATTAAGTGGAACCTTTGTCTCTATTTCATGACTTCAATCTGTGAAATTCAATAAAAAATCAATTTAATACACCAGAAAGTGATAACAAAGTTAATTAATGCCCAGTTAATGCTTAATGAACTATATGAAATTTTGTGATAAAACTAGTTAGTTATCTATTAACAACAAATTTGTTTTTGATAAGAACTAATTTTGATACTCAACTCAATTGCTCTGTTGATATTACTCAATTCTCCATTAAATTGTAAATAAAAACTGTTAGTCAATCATTGTTGAACTATTTTGGTTGACAGAACTACCTTGGTTATTTAATTATATAATTACCAACAATATTCATCTTTAAAAAAAAAGATTTTAAACAGTTACGAACCCATTAATTTGATAGAAGTATTTAAATAACTGCATACCTAATCAGATTAGTAATTGTCACAAGACAGAATAAACATAATCTATAAATAAGAAAAAAATTCAGACAGAAACTTGCTAATTGATGATTTTGGCTGGTGGTCACAGAATCACATTATTATCTCTTGGCATCTGTATCATAGAAGACTGTAGACATACGACTAAGGGATTCTTTGGAGGATGGGATTTAGCATTATCTAAGTATTGTACAGCATACTGTGATTATTGCATGTGATGATATTGCATATGTGTGTGTGTGACCAGACTTACTTGTTATCCTACATAACTCTGCTGTTTTAGTTTGACAAACCTACATTATGATGATTTTGCTATCGACCTTATGTCTAAGTATTGGTGACTGCATTAACTTTTTTTTTTATGGCTTAGATGGGTGGTCGAGCTCACAGCCCACCTGGTGTTAAGGGGTTACTGGAGCCCATAGACATCTACAGCGTAAATGCGCCACCCAGCTTGAGACATAAGTTCTAAGGTCTCAGGTATAGTTACAACGGCTGCCCCACCCTTCAAACCGAAACGCATTACTGCTTCTATTGGTTGGATAACCATCATAGAGTACATTATTTACCAAGTATTCATTAGTAAATATAAAATCACTAAGAATCATAGAAGTAGAATAAATGTGGATACATATATAATGGATAATAATATTTTAAAGATCATTAGATACAAAAAATCTTCCTCCGTTCACTAACAAACTGCAAAACAATTTAAATACTTATTGGAATTGTATGGAATATAAAATTAATATACTGCACATTTTCTCCATAATAGTGTGTATTTGTGGATTCCACAAATAAGAAGTTATATTATACCAGCGATAACGGGCGAAATATACATCGATCCGACTTGACCTTCTCCCCCAGCGAGCTTGCTTTTGATGAAGAGTTCCCTGATAAGTATGTCATTTTGGATAAAGTCGACATTAACAGAAAGGTGGGTACATACGTAATTCTGTTTACTTTGTGTATTCGATAATCACGACGTGAAATCCGTTTTAGCATCTTTTGAATAGAGATAAATAAAAAAATTTACATTGACAGTACAATCGAAAAACAAGGTGTGTTTGAACCGATTTGTTCATGATAATCTTCCCAAAATAAGTTTGTAGGACATAATGATGATTCTCTCTCAATCTACTGTACTTTGCTACCTCAGTAAAATCATAAGTGTTAAAAGATAATAGCATTTTAAAAACACACCTTTCACTAAAGAATTTAATTTTCTCCTTAGTCTACGAGTAAATAGCCATTAATGCAATTTCTTTCGTTTGCCTTTGAAGATTAGTCATAGTCGATAGAACTTAGTCGTTATTTTGTCAAAGAGGAATAAGTAATATACATATTGTTTTAAAAACATTCATTCTTCATGAAGGTTAAACTATTGAATAGGCTAACGACCCAACTCGTGTTAAGCTAAAATCACACCATGGATGTAGTTGAAATATTTACCTTTCAGACCAGAGAGCATTTAGTTATTTTTATGCAGATACTGACAGAGAGAGTGCTATAATAGAATCGCAGTATGCCTTATCTACAATTATGAGAATTTATAAAATTTGCAGAACACAAAAACAAGAAACTACGATACTAAGAAAAAGGGTCTATAAATAAAAATGAGATCTAACCTCACGATAATCTTATAAACTGTACGTTGCTCTGACATGGTAGACTTAAAAATGTCTCGAAATAAATAAAAAATACTTACATAATATTATTATCATCCATAATAAAAAACAAGTTCGCACAATGGACGGTGCTATCGCTAACAGCGACTTACCCTAAAAGTTGACTGGTACTGGCAAAATGTTTTATGTAACACAATAGTCAAATAAAAATAAAGTAAACCTTCGGAGTAAAAAAAAAATTTTTTTTGTGGCTTTGGTATTTTCTATACTCTCTCGAATTGAGTTTCTCAATAGGTACAGCAAGGCGTTCTCGGGTTTTATTTTTAACGATCTCTTTATTTTCAGCTGTACCTAACACTAGATGGGGGGAAAACATTTAAAATGATCCAAAGTTTTGTGAAGACCTTCGTCTGGTCGTCTGGCCCTGGATTCTCCAAAGTATTCTATGTAGAGCGATGGAAGCCAGATGGAACGAGTGCTGTTTTGAGCGCAAGCGATCCCACAGATCTTATCAATGCTGAGGTGCTGTTTGAAGAGACGAAGGATTTCCAGGTGAAAGGGGATTACATGTTCGCGACGAAACAGTCGAAAGAGGTAAGCGTTTACGAATCATTCGTCATTTCATTTTTAAATGTTAAGCGAACATTTAGAAAGGGGTTTGATCAAGTTTGATGTAATCTTTATATATATTTGATTCGAGGGATGAAGGGCTATTTGGCTTTAGCGACATTTTTGGAATTTTACAGGAGAGCCGTATAAAGTAAAAAATTTGGTTAAAAATTACTGGTGGTAGGACCTCTTGTGAGTCCGCGCGGGTGGGTACCGCCACCCTGCCTATTTCTGCCGTGAAGCAGTAATGTGTTTCGGTTTGAAGGGTGGGGCAGCGTTGTAACTATTCTTGAGACCTTAGAACTTATATTTCAAGGTGGGTGGCGCATTTACGTTGTAGATGTCTATGGGCTCCAGTAACCACTTATCACCAGGTGGGCTGTGAGCTCGTCCATCCAACTAAGTAATAAAAAAAAATATGGAAAAATATAATAAAAAAAAATTTCAGCTATTCGAATGGAGTAAACTTAATTGAAGATCAATTAAAAGCATCGAAATGTTGATGCTATTATACCAAGTAACCGCACCTTAAATAACAAAGATAAATGTCGTGTATTAAGCGAAATGTTGCTTAAACCTAATACCCTTTCACCCCTCAATATATTATTTACATACATTCGAATGTACATAATGATTCCACATAATATATATTTCCAATTAGTACGTATACAAAGGAATAGGCACGTGTCTCAGATAATCAGTTCAAATGTCAGTATCAACGAAAAAGGTTCTTTTAGTTGTTTGCGAAATAATAAATGCGCATTGTCTCTGTATTTTCACACAATAATACGTTCATAGTCTTTGTTGACTGTTATCAGTCATTACACTGTCGTCTGGAAAGTGATATTATTGTATACAAGCGTTATCGATCTGGCCTTGTTACGTTCCTGTCCCACGTAAAATTTATACGTACCTTGTTAATGATTGTTTAATTATTCATTTTCTGACATGCGTTCTATAGTCAATTCCGAATGCTCTTATTTTATTTTTTTATTTTATTTATTGGGTACCAACATGTTATACATCAGCACAGAACATTACAGGTATCATATATGTACATTGATTTCGCACTAAATGCTAACACAATTACAGGTACCTACTGCATGCATAAAAAAAAGGCGGTTCATTATATAAAAAACAAATAAAAACTATATATAACATTACATGAAGACCTTACATTATTACACATTTACTACCAAATACGCTATTACTTAATTGAAAAAACTCATTGAGCAAGGCTGTAGACTTCTCGTCTAAAACTGTCAACAGTGCCAGCAAAAACGTCCAGAGAATACTTNACAGGTACCGACTGCATGCATAAAAAAAAGGCGGTTCATTATATAAAAAACAAATAAAAACTATATATAACATTACATGAAGACCTTACATTATTACACATTTACTACCAAATACGCTATTACTTAATTGAAAAAACTCATTGAGCAAGGCTGTAGACTTCTCGTCTAAAACTGTCAACAGTGCCAGCAAAAACGTCCAGAGAATACTTGTTATGCAAATTATTTAATTCCCCAACTAGTCTGCTGCTCTTTTTTGTATTACTTTTGAAGTCGTCGTGGCCTAAAGGATAAGACGTCCGGTGCATTCGTAGCGATGCAACGGTGTTCGAATCCCGCAGGCGGGTACCAATTTTTCTAATGAAATACGTACTTAGCAATTGTTCACGATTGACTTCCACGGTGAAGGAATAACATCGTGTAATAAAAATCAAAACCCGCAAAATTATAATTTGCCTAATTACTGGTGGTAGGACCTCTTGTGAGTCCGCACGGGTAGGTACCAACGGCCCGGCTATTTCTGCCGTGAAGCAGTAATGCGTTTCGGTTTGAAGGGTGGGGCAGCCGTTGTAACTATACTGAGACCTTAGAAGTTCTATCTCAAGGTGTGTGGTGCATTTACGTTGTAGATGTCTATGGGTTCCAGTAACCACTTAACACCGGGTGGGCCGTGAGCTCGTCCACACATCTAGGCAAAAAAAAAACAACTTCCTTTAAACATTTAGCACAAAAAAAACATTTTTTTAACGTGTTAACGTGTTAACACATGTTAAAGTGTTAACACTTAAACAAGCAATTCTTGTATATAAATATATATATATATATATGATCTGAATCTCGGAAACGGCTCCAACGATTTTCATAAAATTTATACAGGGGATTTCGGGGGCGATAAATCGATCTAGCTACGATTTATTGTTGTTTTATTCGTGTTTTCAATAATCAACTTTATCGATAATTTTGATTTTTTCTTTAAATAACCAGTTATTTTTTTTTATTACTCTGTCGGGAAGATCGAAAAATATTACTCATATTTCATCATTTTATCAATATGTAATTCGCATTTAAATATAATGTCTAAAAAACCCAATTTATCAATAAAAAATACCGAGCAAAGTTCGGTCATTATCTAGTAATGAAAAATCGAGTATTCTTCAAGCCACGGTGCTCACCGATGAGCCTTATCTTACTGATCCATTCGGGCCATGAGGGTCGACCGTGAGGCTTTTAAAATATTTAAAATAGACGGTTAAAGTCGTTATTTTTTATCATGCTTTGAAATTAGCATTTTATTCTATTTAGAATGAAAATCTGAAGTTGATAAAAATTACTGATACCCTGATTTTGGCTTGGCCCGATTGGTATAGCACGCTAAGCCCATGGGTGGGTCGCAAAGCGTACAACGTGTTAATAACACTTTAAAATGTTATTAAAAAACCACGATTGGAGTATACCTTAGAAAACAATAACATTTGCATTGGATGAATATTACTAAATTACAGTCCACTGAGTTTCTTGACGGATCTTCTCAGTGGGTTGCGTTTCCGATCCGGTGGTAGATTCTGCGAAGCACGGCTCTTGCTAGGGTTGTCAGTGCTAGCAACACCGGCTTGAGCCCCGAGAGCTCAGATATACGCTAGGGTAACGCTGATATAGCCTCTTAAGGCTATCGGCATAGGTAGGGAAAAAAAGAGCAAAAAAAAACTCAAATATGCGTAGTCTTATTGTTTTATTGGATCGAAATTAATGCTCTGGTAGGTCATGGCTCCCGCTCCCTCGCGCAACGTAGAATCGACGCAAAGACACTGATAGCAACTTAGTTTTGCAACAGAGCTGCCTTGTTTGGATATTTAATACTGTCTTTGCAAAATGTTAAAACAAAATTAGTTCATTAAATTCCGTATAATAATATATTTCCACATAAATTTGGGTTTTGACCACGACCATACGTGTATATCATTTTAACAAATTAATATTTAGTAGTATTTCGTAAGATGGACGTCTTTTAGCGATCATCAATCAATTAACTGATGTCTGTTTTGTTTCACCTTGCAAAAAATATCGTTTTTTTCCTCGTAAAGCCGGATTGACCTCAATATTTTAATGTAATTTTATAGTTACTGGCTTCGGAGTTTTAATATATTTTTTTTGTTTGCTGGTAGATAACAGATCTGTTGGATCGAGCAACAACTAAATAGGAATACAAAGTTTTATAATATCTGAATAAAATTTTATTTACTTCAAATTTACGGGCCTCGAATTTTTTCAGTGCACGGTTGTGACATATTTTTGAATATCATAAAATAATTTGAACGCTTAATGCTTAAATAGGCGCGAAAAAAACTTAGACGAAATAATTAATAACAATTATTTTATAACACACATAATAATTAACACATAATCATTATTTTTCGAAATGTGAAGGTCTGTGTTGCTACTTATTTTCTGAGTAATAAAAGCTTTTTAAAAGATTTAACACTCGGCTAATTGTGCATATGAGCCTCGGTGAGCACCATCAGTCGGGCTGATAGACAGCGATGACTAAAATCATATAATTAATTTATTTATTTTGATAGGCACGCACGTGCTCACGGCCCATCTTGTGTTAAGTGTTTACCGCAACTCATAGCTACAACGTAAACACTAACCACCTCGAGACGAGATCAAATTCTTAATTGGATTTTATATTTTTTAATTTAATTAAATTAAATGTTGATTCATTTCTGGTTTGCAACAGTTGATGACGTGTTTGTGGTGGCGTCTTGTTGTAGTTAGCAGAAAATTGCGGTGCTCACAAATGATTATCTTTTTGTGAATTCCGTAGAATCTAAATCTAAGTCACAGCACATTTATAAACAGGTAAACAACAAGTTAGCGCCGTGTGTTTTAAGATGAATATATTACGTCTTTCGGTGTTATTTGTATGTAGCGTGAGGTGTAGTTATAATAAATATTAGATTCCAAACAAAGAGGTAGGCAGCGGCTTGGCTTTGCTTCTGGCATTGCTAAAGCAGTCCATGAGCGACGGTAACCACTCACTATCAGATGTGCCGTATGATCGTCTGTCTATAAGGACAATAAAATAAAGATAGATGATGACTTTTTCGACTATTCCGTTTTCCGTTTATTCATTTCTATTTGCATTACATTAAGTTTCTTTTCAATTTAAATACGTTCTGTATAAAAATTATATTTCTTTATGAGCAACTACACCACAATACAGAATTTACGGATAGTTTTAATAGTAGCATTGATCTCCATACCTACTTTATGTGATGATATCATCGCGTTTCAGTTCTCTTTATCATCACATTCCATATTAATATCTAAAAAAAATGAACGCGAAAATGAGGAAACAAATTGAATGTTTAAGTGAGAATGGCAAGGTCCAATGTAATATTTTACATTTTTTTTAATGTAAAAATATTGATAGTCTGACTGTATATTTATTTAAAGATTTACATACCTACCTAACCGCCTTAAGTAGCTTTTAGTTAAATTTTGCTAATTTGTTGCCTAAAGATCGATTTAAAATTAACAAGAGGTTATAAGGCCTTTGGTACTGTATAACTAATTAATAAATAAAGACCTGTTATAATTAAAAAATATAAATATCTTTTCGAATACTTTGAAGTCTGTTGGGACCTCTTTGAAATCTACTTTTTTTTCTTTTTTTTTCCTACCTATGCT